CGGAAGACCTGTTATAGGTATTGATACTTCCAAAATCAAGCTGACTTCTTCTTGAGGCTATACCGAATGCATTTTACGGGGGATAGAGATAACTGAGGTAAAGAATGTAGTACCACTAAATTATAACTTTGTTGAAAGGAGAGAAACAAACATGTCGCATAGTTTTCAAGTTTGAAAATATTTTGCGGAGATTCCTTGCTGAATCTTGTCTACCTAGGAGAAAGTGATGTCCCAAACTCAACAATGTTTCTGACTTGCGGAATCCAATTTGAATTCAATCCTCAGAAGCAATATAAAAATAAATTCAAATGGAATGTCACAACGCTTTCTGTGGATGCATACCGATTTCAAATGCAAGTGAAGATATATTCTTCTTTTGTTCATGGACATTTCAGTTTGTCATGACTTACACATACTGTGCGTGAGTTCGTTGCGCGGATAAATAACTGCATTCAAAAAGAAACCCAGACACAAATCTATACCTGGTTTCTTCACCCTATTTGGATTAAGGCAAAAAAGGTGGATCAAAATAAGTGTGGTTAGGTCACATACTAACGAAACTTATGTGGTTTTCAATTGAGATTTTGTCCTGTGAGTGAAAACAATTTATGAATGCATTTAAAGGAACAAAATCTCAGTTGAAAAGCCATAAATCTCTTCACAACACTATCTATCTACAAGCAGCTCGGGGGAAAGCTAATTTCATCAGGTAAGCAAAATCTCCATATCAGAAGTCATCAATCGAGAAGCCACTTGACACGTGACCACATGATGTGAATCCCGTGAACGAAAATGAGCGGCGCTGTATCCTGTCCAGATACGACTAAATTACTCTGCTGATCAACAATTCGTAGTCGAACGGTTTAAACTACTAGCCGGCAGCTCGCGGGTTCTAGACTCTGTGGAGTTTTGTGAGATGCGCACTGTTGATGAACGGTTTAAATAGCCGGCAGCTCGCGGGTTCTAGACTCTGTGGAGTTTTGTGAGATGCGCACTGTTGATGATTGGCAATAAGGATGAAACAAACGTACAGTGCTCCTCGGCTTTTCTCCAAAAATTAACTTCACTTACAGGGCAAAATCCTGATTGAAAATTTCGAAACTACTTATACTACCATCAGATATATCGTTACCAAGTTGTATGTGACAGCTTTAATACGATAACGTCTTATCCCTAGCTGTCGGTTTCTGTACAAGACAGTCAAATATCAGTATTATTACTCTTAATAGTACCCCTCGAAACTCACAGTAGTTCGCCATTTTTATACAGACCATGAAGTATCGCAATCTTATATAGTATTCACTACAAAGTCTGTACAGATAGCATGATGATGAATGTGAATTAATCCCTCACGACTTCTTTTTAGATTAAGCGAGTTTGAGAAATACCGAAGATGAATAGAGTTGCCCTACCTGAGAATAAAAACTACTGATAGCAAGAAAACAAACAAACATATACTCACTTGCTGTCCGTTTGCACCTTTTTAAGCCTCCGAACTGATCACCCGACATATTGAGGAGAAATCCGGAAGGGGGCTGGAAATTATTTCCATCATGCAAAGAGGAGAAGATTTGTCCGATATTCTTGTTTTCAACATTGTCAATGAAGCATTGCAGTCTCCGGAATGCAAAGAAAAAGGTTACATACTAGATGGAATGCCAAATTACAGCGAGAAGCTTCTAACCATTCCCACTCAACTGGAGTTCCTAGCTCGAGTCTATCCCGAACCGGCTTATTGGGTCCTCATCGATGTGAGTTTACTTCTGATGGGAGTGTCGCTCACCTCTTGGCAGGTAACATTTCACACGTTTATTAGGCACTTAGTTCATTGATGGCTTCTGAGTTGCCCTTGGTGGATAAGTCTGATAAATACCCATCTGCCACTGCTGGAAACTGAATTAGTTTTCTTATCCAACTGAGGTCTTTTACAAAGCATATACCGAACAGATCTTCCAGTGCAATTTAAGCATGCCAGGAGGTATGGCACTGCAGCTAAGGATTTGTAATCTTTCCTGACCAGGTTTGATAATCAGTTTTCATGATGCTGCATGACATCTGGTCTTGTAAATGCGCTCATAATCGGTTGCACGAAGAGGCCTGGTCGATATGCGGTGAAGTTATCAGCTAGTCTCTGGGGTCGGGCTACGAAAACCAACAAACCACCGTGAGGATTACTGAGGTGTCAGCTCCCGTTTAAAGGCAGCGTGCCACAAACTGTTGTTGATTTGCCTGATATCGCGTTCGTCTTCAATAGGCTTACATATGGATTATCCGTTAAGGTAGCTAGGATGCATGCCTCCACAAACCCCTATCGCGATTCGCCGATGGTGGGCTTGTGAGGCAACTCATGGGCTTGCGACGACTGTTTCTCTTGGGGCGATTTGCGCGTGCACGGAACTAGGGTGAGGCCTAGGCCTTAGCAACGCAAGTGTCTGGGTTCTCTCTAAGGTGGATGCACTTGAGTGAAGGGAATCCCTGTCCTGGATTCCCTCCTGGATCAAAAAAAGGCATACGCAGAGTACGCACTTCATCAGACTTATTCAGATACACATCAGTGACATTATTTTATGCAAAACTTCTACATAGTGATAGTGATCCCTCAAAGCCGATACTAAATAAATTATTAGCATTCATTGGTCTATGATGTGCACATGGACTCCACGGGAAGCGTCACTCCGTTAACTTTTGTGGAGCGAAAATTTTGGCGCACAAGTTTCTGACTGAAGGATGTCATGAGTCGATTTCCGTGATCGTCCAATAGTGGTTCCGTTTGCCCCCTATTTATGCGGTATTCTTATCTTCTACAGCCGACTGCCGGGCTGTTCTCAGCCCAGAATTCCGCTTCAATATTGAATAACGACTCACGCCCTTGAAGTCGCTTTGTTTCCTTACCTCAAAGCTCCGCGAAAAAAAAAACAAGACTGCCCTTCTTTGTCGAAACACCGCTTATAGAAAAGTGACTACTCGATTCAGAGACAGTTATTCGTAGTTCTGTAACATTCATTCAGCACTGGGTTTGCTTTATAACGACATGCACCTGGATTGCTTCTAGTATCCAATATGTCGTTTACTGCCTAGCTTTGGATAGACTGGATAGGTTTGCATTCGTATAATGGTCTACGTTCAGGCGACTTTTGACCGCAACCTGTCTAATTGGTGCCAGCTCCTGTCGAGTAATGGGAACTAAGAAGTGATTCCACAAGGATTGCTTCGACAAGTGTATGCCTGACTGATTAACTGGTTCAATATTTGTTGATTGACTAACCGGACCGATGATGGAGTTCCGTCAGAATCAACCTACTTCAAGTGAACAACAAAACGGGATAGCATAGACAAGCCGTTGAATACTTAAATGATAATGTAATTCAAACCTGATGAAAAAAGTATATCAACAAATAGAAATCCTATACGTTCACCGACATCGGGTCTTGTCACAGCAAGATAGAAACTAGATAGTATTGTGTTATCATGAATCAGCCCCATGCTTTGGACTCAATATGCAGATAACTCTTCCGTCGTTGTAAAACTATTAAACCAGGGACTATATTCACCATACTGCTGTGCCACCGTTACTCTACCTTGTGTGAGCCGGGAAATATCAGTGTCAAATAGGCAGGTAAGCTTTATGACAATCATTGCTTCATGAAACAGTTTGGGGACTAACTCCGGATTTCAGTTAGTATATCTTGCAACTTTGGTTGTCAGCGAGCCTGTGGAACACCTGCGTTCTTTTACTCTCTGAATGGTCATTTGTGGATGTCTAATCATGTAATTACTGAGGCATGTCTGCTTCGAACGACAATCGAGGAAGAAAGCACCTCCCGAAAAAATACAACTCATCGATGATACACTCGATGTGTAATGTTTGCAAACTTGATAAGAACTCTTCGACAGCCGGTTTGAAGATCGTCAGGCGAGTTGAGTAAATTATCGTGAACGGGCGATTCATTACAGTCTAACTTGGTGTTGTTTTACTTCACAGAGCAAGCGCTCCTTCTCATGATTTTAACTGTGAACTACTGGTTGCTTTCAATGCATGGGCCACTTAATTGGAAGTTTGGCGGCAATACCGTTTTCATTGTTACCTCTCTCCAGATCCCTGATCCCGAATTACGTGCACGTTGGGAAGCCGTGAGAATCGATCTTGCCACTGGTAAACTGTACCCTAAGGCTAGCTACGATGTTGCCACGGAGCCTACAGGCCACTGTGACTTCCCAGTAGTCGATGAGGAGATGAAGAAACGTCTACTTATTCGGCATGAAGAGCTTCCGGAAAACGTGGAATTAAGCTTCAGATTCTACAACGAACATGTGGAGCAGCCGTTGGATAAATTTATTAAAAGTCTTGACCCCACAACTGTGATAAGATTAGATGGGACGCTGTGTCCAAGGGAGCTAGGGAAGGTAAGTCGCTTGATAGCTATTCACAAAGATTTTGAATGCAAACCTGCACTTTTGAAGAGAGAAGTACCGAGTGTTGAATTTTTCCGCGAATAGTGCAGTTATCTCTCAATTAAATAACACTGTATTAGTAAAATAACACAAAACGAACCATATTCTTCAATTTATGTGTCAAGCAAAGCACGGCAGTAAAAGATTACTGCAAAACACTCGAAACTAGCACGCCTATTTTCTTTTATATTGCGACCTTCAACCCAGAGTTACGTTATTTTTTAGCCCAACAGCCATTGAGAAGCTGTAAATTTACATAAATATCCGTGTGAATGGAGACCTGTGAACTACCGTTTTGCCGCATACGTGATGGTGCAATTTGCTGTAATGTGTTATCAGGACGTTGAGTCACCTATCAGGTTAAATTTATATTAGACAGTATAAATAAATGAATATATATTAAAAAAATATAAATGACATATTCGCCAAAAATCCACTTTTCCCCTTGTCTTGAGTGCAACACAAGATAAAATTTCATGCGATCCGGAATATTTCAGTGATAGAATTTGCTGATTTAAGATGTGTAACTGGTTGGAAGTAAAAAGTAACAAAAAATAGCTTGCCACTCATGCACTATCGCTTTCGTTCAAGGCCTAGGCTGTTTGCCTCTTTTCATTAAGGTCATTTCCTAATAGGACGGAAGTTTTAAGTCCGTCTGTAATTTTCTTATAAAGCTATTAATCAATGTATCGATGTCACAGCACGCTAGATCACTTGGAAAACCTGAAGAAACATTTACTTAACGACTATAAGTTTACTGATGCAGGAAAACATGGGGTTTCAGCTGAACTACTGAGCTCAAAAAACACGAAAAACATACATTTTTCATTTGGATACCTGATTCAATGTCAAGTGGAGGAAATTAGCCAGCCTGTGCGTTTGAGCTTGCAAGAAAAATTTCATCAAATCCACGTTCCCTCAACACTATTTTATGGTTGATCGTTTTAGTTCTGTTACAAAGTAAGTGCTAGGACAAATACCGGAAAAGTGTAGCTGTGGACGATAAGGTCAATTTATCAATCATTCATACGTATAGCGGTTCATATAAGGCCAACTATAACACGAAAGTGAGACTACCGGCATCTCAACCCTTTGTGTACCTTTCGGTTCATTTAACCCATCCAGGAACTATTTCGCAAGCTCAACGATATGCCGTTGCATCAGGAACAGAAACCTTCGTCAATCACAGTAGGCAGTATACAGCGGACCACAACACCGACAGATTTAGAAATACCCGCAGAGTTCGTAAGTCACTTATCACATGTACATGAATTTACTCTCCAAATCGTTACAGGTTGCTGCAAAACAGCTTTGGCAAGGTAAACCACCGCGTTTGGTCATGGTTGGAAAACCTTGCACTGGAAAAACTCTGCTCGCCAAAAAATTATGTACAGCATGGGATTGTCATTACATCAACGGTAAGTAGCGTTTGTTGTATGTGCAAGCATACATTTAAAACCTTTTCAATTTTACAGCTTCCGAACTGATTGCGCAACATTTGGAAGTGGGGACAGGCAGAGGCCAGCAAATTTTAAAAATAATGCAAGCTGGTGAAGATTTATCTGATATCATGGTGTTCAATTTGCTGAACGAGGCCATTCAATCACCTGAGTGCCACAAAAGTGGTTACATTTTAGACGGGCTGCCGAATTATAGTCAACAGTAGGACTTTACTCTCCGAATCGTTACAGGCTGCTGCAAAACAGCTTTGGCAAGGTAAACCACCGCGTTTGGTCATGGTTGGAAAACCTTGCACTGGAAAAACTCTGCTCGCCAAAAAATTATGTACAGCATGGGATTGTCATTACATCAACGGTAAGTAGCGTTTGTTGTATGTGCAAGCATACATTTAAAACCTTTTCAATTTTACAGCTTCCGAACTGATTGCGCAACATTTGGAAGTGGGGACAGGCAGAGGCCAGCAAATTTTAAAAATAATGCAAGCTGGTGAAGATTTATCTGATATCATGGTGTTCAATTTGCTGAACGAGGCCATTCAATCACCTGAGTGCCACAAAAGTGGTTACATTTTAGACGGGCTGCCGAATTATAGTCAACAGTTACTCAATATCTCAACCCAACTAGAATTTCTGGCTCGGCTTTATCCGGCACCCTACTATTGGATCGATTTTGACGTATGTTGCTCCTTGGAGATCCTCATTGGACGTTCGTTTTGTTTCATTCGTTCAACCGTTTCATGGTTACCTCAAGTTTGAGGTGAGTTTTGTTCTCTGTTGTTTCACTTGCTTGCAGCACTAGTATATGAGATTATTCCCGGTAAGAGCGATTAGAACTGATTATTTTGAACGGCGTTCACTCGTGGGATGGCTATCATTCTTCTTTCTAATATGAGTCCATTCAAAGCAAATCATTCAAAATTTAATAGGCAAAATTCTTTTTGAAATCTTTTGAATATCAGCTATTTCAACCTTTGTTTGCTGCAAAACTTGTTCGCAGTATGAGAAAAGTTAGGAAAATTCCACTCGAGATTTCATTCTATAAGTGAAACTACTCGATGTTGAAAAGCAGAAAAGCATTTTTCGGCCGTTTAATTACTATTCGGAAGTGTCAGCAGTGTGCTGCTCGAAGGTGTGGGCACCCTATTCTTGATCGTTTCTGTTAATGATATAAGGCTTCACAATAGGACACCACTCTTCTGCCTTATTTCTGCCATTTACTAAGGCTTTCTTCCTCCATAGTTGTATGTCAGTTGAGCACGAGTAGGTACTACTGGTGTATTGCTGTCAATGATGATGATGACGATGATGATTTGGAACGCCGAAGGAGGTCGACTCTGCCAAGGATTCTGCAGTCGAATTTACAGCACTAATAATCAATAAATTGCCATGGTGAACAGATCAAATTACCAGTTCCCGGCTCCAAAGCACAGCTACGTACCCCAGCTCCACAAATCATCGTGAACGAAACTTTGGCAAATATAATCACTTTGCGAGGGTCTTACAGCTGATATAATGGATATAGAATTAGCTAATCAGACTTTCTGTCGGGGAATGAAAATTATGAGGCTAGCGGTACGTAATAGACAGAACCAATCCATTCACCGGACGACATGCTCCTGTTTCCAACTTTGTTCAATGAGTGACAGACGGCTTTTACAACTGTACCACAAAGACTACACAATGGCACAGTAAATACAAAAGGCTCGAGAAGACTCAGAATTATATGTAGAGTTTTCACGAGTGTCTCAGTTCGACTGGGGGAAATCGTCATTCCTAAATTCGCATGATTATAAGTAGCACACATTTGTTGGCATAGGGACGGATGGTAGGAAATGCTTGAAAAATTTCAAAAGAGCGGATAATTCTGGGCAACCGGTAATCTTAATTTTGATATGGCTTGTCAGAATGTGGGTCACAAAATGGGTGTTTACGATGTTTATAAAAAGTGACAGTTCCATCCTTTATTTATTTTGGGTTAGCAGTCAAGCCGTTGAATCCTATTGCGTTGCAGGACGGATTGAATAATAATGGATGAAACCGAGTCTAACATTTATATTTCTAGAAAGCCAAACACATTTGGGCAAATTTAGTAATGTAATTCGACAACAAACATGCGTCATGATTTTTCACGCGTGTTGTGTTTCAACAGCGTACTGTCTCTAGTACAGCCGTACCATTGCTTTATTCGTTCCTTTAATCATCTTAAATGTGTCCATAGAATTCACGGTGCAGAGCAAGAAAGTCAAGCGGTTACTCCTTGTTTGGTAGCATACAAGCTGTTTTTTCAATTCATTTTAGTAAAAACTGCAATTACGAATATTCGAATGTTGTGAAAATGTGGGCGGTTTGTGGGACTAGATTTTACTCTGTCGGTTTGTGGTATTTCTTTAGCTGACATTTAGTATCCTACAGCGTGCTAATCGCAGAATTATGGTCATACATAATAATCAATTGGCTGTAACACGTTTTTAGTGCCTAATTGTCGTGCCACTCAAACACACACCCAACCTATAATCTCTGATTCACTAAGCTAGAACCGCCTGTGCACCAGTTATATGTACACGCAGGCCTAGCCACCAGCGATCTCATTCTTACGTCAAAACAGTGCGCTGCACTTTTGGGATCATTTGACACCGGCTGCACAGACCCACCATCCAGCCGGATCAGAATGGCTGAGCTGGGAGACAGTGCAACACGCTCAATTCATTGCTGGCTTACGAGCCTCAAGCGACTTGCCCTCTCGGCTGCGCGAGAAATTTTTCGCGAAGTGGCTTGACAGCGAGAGCACAGCTAACATAGCATTGTGAGTCGGGAGACAGGGCAACACGCTTACTTCATTACTGGCTTACGAACCTCAAGCGACTTGCCCTCTCGGCTGCGTGAGAAATTTTTCGCGAAGTGGTTTGACAACGAGAGCACAGCTAACATAGCATTGTGAGTTCGCTTTCTCCGAGGGTTAAGAAACCGGGACTGTAAACTAAACATTGTCCTGGCTTCGTCAGGCTTCCCGTGAGTGAAGCCGGATATATGCGGTACATTCGTGGACTACCAATCCAGAAAACCTTTGGAGAATTCTACCATTATGGTAGGATTCATTCTTCACAAAATACTATCATGCCTGAATAAGGTTGTAAACACACCAATCTGTTAGCAAAAAGGACCTCATGAAGTATCCCTTGGATACATGTAGTGTTTGTGTAGATAATTCCATTTAAAATTCAGGTTCTCCGGAAAGTGGCGAATTGGCTGCTGAAATTCACAACTAAAAAGACCAGAAGACAAGTCGATTGACCATTACCATCAACTTTTCCCATATGCCTGGACGCAAACATTTAAAATACCTAAAATTTTGCGTATTACTCGAATCCAACAGCTGAACTATGAACAACAGACCGCCAGCGATGGAGGTACATGTTATCTTCTCGATATAACCTAGCCATTGTTTGATCAATGAGTGGATTTCTCCGCATTTTTCAGCAAATCAATCGTGATTCCTGCATTCCTATCACAATTGGTCAGAAGTAGTGGAATAAGTACGAAACACTAAAGTCAACTGCGGATACCCAAAAACTTGGCACGAACTTATGATTCAGTTGATTTGTACATTTTCTACTCGATCGTAGGGGAAATCTTATGCGTTTATAAGTAACTATAGCGGAACACGCTAAACATACTTCGGATAATATTGACAACCGAATGTTTCAGTAATAATAGGTTTTTTCTAAAAAGCGGCTTTCACAACATCTATTGATAATCTTTCAATCAGTCAGTTTGTCAGCTACAAACTACGTAATAAGGGTACGATTACTTCGGTCAGCTGAAAATAGGGAGCTTGGTAGATATAGCCAAACATTGGAGGCGATGGCTCTACACACTGGAAGGTGATAGCTTTGATGCACGAGCACCACACACTACGTGATTGAGTCAAGTCTGCTATTGTCATTAACCATTGATGAGTTGAGTCCTAGGGTCTCCATTCAACGAAGCGGTAGCTGTCAATTCGAGTGAGTTTCCCGTTTAGTGATTTCATACTTCTTTGCCAGACCATACACTGTCTACGTCTTGGTAGCTTCCACTCAGCACAGGGCTACGCGAACGGAGGTCTGCGAGGCAGAAGGTACTGTCACATGTAAAGTACATTTCTTAACCAGAGTGTTGGGGATATCAATATCCCCCAAAAAACGCTGTATTTTTATATGTGCTAGCGAACTTCCGGCATCTTCAAGGTCAAACTATGAATAAATCAATGGTCTATTGATTTCCCAAGAAATTTAAATCCGACCACTTATTGACACGATACCATCGTTTTGCTGATTTGTGTTCGGAAGCTCGGGGCATCGCCTGTTGATCGCGTGTTTTTGGATCATTAAAGTTTGTGTCCGAGGCTTTACGTCTTCTTACTATCCGCCGTGCTAGGAGTCTGGATCAAGCAACATAGCTGGGGATAGAGTATTGTCACAATCCGCATATCATATTGTTTGCTCGCTGCGTGACCGAACCGTAACACAGAGTAAATAATGAAACGTGAGTAACCCACCAGTCGTTGGAGAGTTCTTTCTTCCTAAGACCATCTGGCTACCTCGGTATTGCTAAGCTGATTTTCCCACAAGTCCTAGTCTTGGAGACATCGATCGTCAAACATTGAAATCCTCTGTAAGTCCTCTGTGCTTAGAGATCGCGTTTCTTATCCATAAGGCAGTATGGATAGAACCGTCGCAGTGCATAATCTGCCACTGAAAAATAAGCCGACTTAAAGCCACCATCATAAGTGTCGGAGGTTGACGGAAGCTGTCCTGGCTTTCCAGATAAGAGAGGCAACTTTGTCTCCAGCCATCCAACCGGAACTTATACACTAAACCAGGTCAACAAATTTATCCATCACGTTTAGCTACTCGCCTGCGAGCATGAGGTTTGGGTTTGACCCCATCCAGTCTTGTGGTGGCACATTACACTGTGCAAGTGTGAAGCGCGTGATAAAAGATGCAGCACATTAAACAGAGCGCCATCGCTTATCGAACTTTTGTATTTAAGCCTTATGAAAATTCACAGCGAACATGAACTGAACTGATTTCTTGATGCAATCTATGAAGTGGAGATGCGGTACCAGATATTTGACCAGTACGGTTGGGACCAGAATTTATGATGATAAAGTCATCGGGTAGGGTCTTAGCATCATCGGAATGACCGACCGGTGGGCAGTGCTAAATTGCTCCATGTGTGAAATTTAACATCAGCAAGCCGAGGATTCACTGTTCTCATTGGAGGGCATGTTGTTGGTCGTTAGCCGTGGGGCAAAATGTGCTCAACACCTGGATCTTATTGACGGAGAAATCAGCAGCAAACAGTTCATAATAGATGCTTTGAAATAAATTACCAATACTGGTACGCACAACCTCACTCCTATTCTTGGGGGGGGGGAGGGTCGTGCTCAACCCACAGGGGCCACAAGGGGGAGAAGTGTTTGAAAAGTTTCGATAATGGGCTAAACACCCCTTGTTATTCTTGCAGGACATCAGTTTTCAAAACTTGGTTCTCGAGGAAGACGCCCTTATTTCGGATACCTCTTTGTACATACTGCTTTAAATTTTTATGGCAATTTTGTCACAGCTGATGTGCCAATAAATACGGGATTTTTCGCAACGTTCATTTATCAATGGGTTAGTTTTATCAGACCAATCAACTGGACTGTCATCCGGACCCAACTTATTGTTTATTGCATTGCTTCTGTCAGTATAACTGAGTCTGTGTTTGGTGTTCAGAAACATTTCGATTATTCACATTAGAAATGCGAAAGGAATTCTCGGCAATCCAGAATTTAAGACCACGTGACTTTCCAATTTCAAACTTTTTCCGTTGGGTTTGTTTTCCAAGTGAGTGACGAGTGTATCAAGCACCACTACTTCAGGGGATGTTTTATCAAGGAATGTAGCGCAACTTATAGTACTACCTATGCACCCTCACTTTCCTCCATCACTAAGGCATTTTTCTCGACTTTTCACCGAAAGAGCTTGTTTTATTTTAACTGGCCTTGCGTTCCTTTCCATTTATTTACTTCTTACCCACAGCGGTAGCAAACAGCACAACAGCCCGCATCAAAATCCACACACCTTTCCGCTTTAAGCATTCAGGCAACTGCTGGAGAAATTCACGGTGTCCTTTCATTTCATGGCTAGAATATCGACCGGATTGGTGCTTCCGGAGACCAAACAGGACCGCTATTTTTCGTATCTTTACCGCAGTCCTGGTGTCCCCGTTCACTGTGTTGCATCAAAAAGTATTAATTCGATGATACCTAAAGTCTTTAAAATAAGAGACCGTTGTGTTTACTGTGGGAGGTCCGTCCATGCATTTCAGCAGCCGACCCGTGATAGGATGTGGAGATGAAACCCATTACTGGTTCATTTTTTGCAATCCTTTAGTGGTACCTTCACTGACCCACTGGCAGAGATACTGGGCAAAATGTAGTGATTTTTAAATCTTGTTTGTAAGGTGTAATATACCCAAAGGCTTCTCTTGTTTGAACTTTTAGACTGAATCCTTCAATTTCTGTGCGTTTTGGACATTATCATGAATGCTAGTCTGTGGTGTGGGCTTTTAAAGTATGTCTGCCCATAGGGTAGTCTTTTCCCAAGGGAAGTGCCATATGCTAATGACACCTTGTCCTGAAAGCCAGTGACCATGACTGCCTCTGAGTTGTTAACAGACTTAGTTCCGCAATATGGATGACGCAACACTCTTCTGACAACTGGTCGTAATCACATCACCTTTTGTTGGTTGAAGACTGTCCTGTGGACCTTGGCTACTCTTAATAGGATCTGAAAATGTGAATGTGTGGGTCACCTGTTGCGCCCGTAAGGTGGACGGGTACATCGTGTAGTTAACGAAGGCAGCAGTAGAGCTGTGGAGCTCTATAGAGCTCTACAGAGCTGTGTAGAGCTGTTCATGTGAGTTCTTACTCGCCATTTAAGTCCTTGCATGACGCGAAATACCGCAGCTTTATCTATTCATTTCTCACTAGGCAAATTGTAAGTTGGTAAAAAAATTCAGACAGCATTCGTTGGCACATCCATGTGTTCATCATTTGTTGGCCAGGGTTAGCAGAATTTCATTAGAAAAACCCTTGTTTTTAAATCGCTTGTGAGTTTTCGGTCATCCTGCGAAGATCCGTCAATGAGTAACTTTCCCTTCGTAACTGGGTTCACCCATAACCCGATGGAACTCCTGAAAGAAGAGTCACACTAAATACTAGTGCAAAAACTTCGTCATTTATTTGAGCGCTTTGATAATATTACAAAGTTATACATTACCTTGATTTTCTTTAGAAAACAAAGACTGTACAATGACCGGGCTTGTTGTTATGCATACTTTCCTTGTCTACGATATGTTTAGATGCTCGTGGCCCACCAGAATATACAAACTCTGACTCGCAGATTAAATTTTGTATCGCTTAGATTCAGTGGACACTCCTGGTGATTTCCAAAAAAACGGTTTTCAGCGATGACTGTGTATCTGAATCTTAGGGTCTGAAGGTATTTGAGAACAGAATGTGGTTGAGAAAACCTTGATCAGACAGGAGAAAAACCGCGGATACTGTGACATTTAACTGGCCTCGTCGAACCTCCTTCACTTTGCCAGTTTAGGTTCACACATCCACTGATCCTGGAGTGAGGGCAAAAGAAGCATTGAAAAAAGATTGCCAATATGTCTGACATGGTCGACAATTTTGCACTAATCTCATTATTGACAAGTCTCATGAGTTCGGGCGAAACTCAGCTAGGGTACATTTAAAAGGATTGAGTGACATTTGGTGTATAATATGGGACCTTTTAAAATCAAAACAGAGCTGGGTGGAATGAGATGTTATAATCCGACGTTTCGGTAGCCGCGAGCAACCTCTTCCAAAGATTTCTTTTACGGGCTCATTCCATTACGCTGTATTTTGACTTTAAAAGGTTCTGTATAAACCACTAATTCCGCTCATAATTTGCCTAAAAATGGTCATATTTACCGTTTGCCACAATGTGGAATTGAGACTTACCCAACGAGCACTTGTTGGATCTCACCTCTAAAGTAAAAGTCTATCAACACCGGTGTCCAGTTTATTTTACTCGTCTCAGGTTTGCTCACTTTTGTCTTCAAAACTCCCATCTGGCTACTTCAACTTTCTTTCGATAGTGTCCATATGGTGCAGCAATTAGGACGACGGCACCCAGTATACGCGCCAATAAGTGCCCAGAGTGTAACTGACATACAGCCCATTTTTGTACATTAGAATATTTGAGCTGGTGCGTTTGTCACGATTGGATTCTCAGGCGGTAGCCACACGTATAACTCTCCTAGGCATTGTACGAGTGAGATGTGCATAGGGCGGACGTTTAGCAGACTTTAGTTTGGGATTTTATGCTGTGAGGCGTAGAAAAATTACCCTACAAAAACTGTTGGATGCACTACCATTTATAGGTGGCTTTAGATGCATTTTTTGTATACCTTTCTGTTTGTAGATAATCCACTTTACTATACCTAACTATAATGATTAATATGCAAATATCAACAGATATCGGATGAAGAGCTTCGTGCACGTTGGGAAACAGTACGTGTGGATCATGAAACCGGTGCACTGTATTCGAGCGCCAGCTACGGTTTACAATCGGAAGTTTCTGGTAGCTGTGACTTCCCCAAAATTGATGAAGAAACAAAAAAGCGACTCCTTACGCGACATGAGGAGCTACCAGAAATATTGGACGAGCATTTCAAGTTTTACAATGAACATGTCAGTACACCACTCGTGGAGTTTTTGGGACGTTGCTCGGCATCCTCTGTAATCTACCTTGACGGCACGTTGTGTCCAAATGAAATGGGGAAGGTGCGTCCCGCTATTGAACATTTCATGAATGAGATCAAATCCGGTATTTATTACAATCCCGACTTCAGTTCACGCCTTTTTTTTGTCTCCAGCTGTCCCATATCCATGAAGTAACTGTAGGTGTTTCTATTCATCGCATTTTATCTATTGTGCGATCGTTAATCAGTGCCGCAAAACATACACCAAGACCCCATGTTAGTCTGCTCCAGTCATACGGAATCCGAAAGAACAAGCGGAAGTTTATTATCAGTTTGAATATACTATAACTTCTATGATTTTTTCACTTATTTCAATTTATTTCCATCCGGTACATTTATCTCCTTACTTTCTCAGGCTCTCATAGATACCATCAGAGGACTGATAGATCGATTCGGACTCAAGCCGTCGAAGGTTGGCGGAAGTTTGGAAAGGCTTAGAACGGCGTCAATTTCTAAAGGCTCGCATTCAGATACAGCAGGCGTTCAAAATTCTGATGAGCCGGCCGGTCCATGTCTCATTCGGATTAGGAAACGTTCGATTACTGACAATGCGATGGAATACAATGAGTCTGACATAAAGAGCGACGAGCATAAGAATCATGGTTGCTGCCGTGAATGTGGAGCGAAATTCAGCGAAGTAAGGATAATCAACTGATAAGATTATGTGATTTATACAAGTTCACTACCTTAAGTTCAGAAAACGAAAATCAACCGGATTGCAAGGACTTTCACATCAAATGAAATTAGCGTTAAGCTTTCCGATACAGAACTTTCGGTCATATGTAGGTTTGACGATCCTGAATATCAAAAGGAAGAATTGGGTTCTATTGACACAAAGGTAAGCAAAGTTACGTAAACCTTAATGGCCCAAGTTCGTGGCGTCAGCATTTGCACAAGTCTGTCACTGGCCTGGACACTGCAGTGTCGAGATCCGCACACTAAATCACGTCGATCGGAGTGTTGGACCTGCAGTGTTGGTCTGCAGTGTCGTCCCTTCCGAGGGCAATCTCGTGATTCTGATTGGCGGTGCGTCTACAGGGAAATCCTTGCAGAGCAAGTCAGGACAACCTCCGCAGAGTATGAAGAGGTATGAGTAAGCAGGTCTGCTGCGCACATTTACACAAACACACGCACTTGCTAATATACCAGTATCAGACGGGACGACCTTTTCGGCATTGTGAATGGCGGTTACAGATAAGCAAAGTACATGGACAGAGGAAGCAAATTATGTGGAAATTATCAAAACTTGGTGGCTTGCGCCATAGCTTCCATACTAGTCTATTCGGTTTCAAGCTGGACTTTTCCTAAAGACAATCGTTGCCCTGTCAAAAAATATAGCACAGTTTTACGCCACATACACTAAAAACAACTTTTTCAGTCTATTTCGGTTACAGCCAACCACGATAAACCATGAAAGTCATCAGTGAAAGTTACCACTGGGCAAACAAAGATGCCCAACACAACCCGTGCCACCGTTAAATTCAGATTTATTTGTTTACATAAACTGCGTGGGAATACAACTATGCCTGATTTTGGTGAAAGATAAATTGGACACCTCTTTGAAGTAAATGTTTCCGTTCAGTGAGGGTTTGTATCCGCCTGCGGGATCGTAAGATGGACACTGTTGGTGATTATCAACCGGGATGAAATGAGCGTACAGGATTTTTAAGCTGTTTAGTATAGTTTGCTTTGCACAGTGAGGTTTCCATTTTCCGACTTTGTTCCAACAAGTTGCGCGGTAATGGTTATACAAATGGAATTATTTTACCTATTTACGCCATAATGTGTTTCTGAGATTGAGTTAAGTAGGTTCAAGTTAGGTAGGTTCAAGCCATGTTTCACCGGTGGATTTACAGCAGCTTTGATCATGATTTCATATAACATTATATAGGAAGCATCTCATGACTCATAGCCTGAGTGGACTGATCACGGCAACGGCATCTATTCCCCTATTGAAGTGTTCCCTCCATCTGATTATCTGTCATATCGAAACAGCGTTTCAGTGCGGAGCTCATGTGCCATTTAAGCTTGACTTGTTGCAGACATAGAAGGCGAGTGACAGAAACGGTTACATGCGTTAAAATTGATCGCAAATAAGAGTTATCTGTTATATCGTAACAGCGTTTCAGTGCGGAGCTCATGTGCCATTTAAGCTTGACTTGTTGCAGACATAGAAGGCGAGTGACAGAAACGGTTACATGCGTTAAAATTGATCGCAAATAAGAGAGGGCTTACTAACCCCAAATGTCTTTTTTTCCAGCTCCCTCTCGAAAGTTTACATCCGGATAAATAACTGAGGGATGTAGCTGTCATCAGCTTACAAAGCCTACTCAGCAATGAGGCTACACAAAGCGGTTCTTATGCACTTACACTTAGCTTTAAAAAGTAACTAAATGGCTCTTCTGATATAAGGAGTTCGAATATCACTTGATATCGCTCATGTGCCCATCTCACTAGAACGACTTACGGATTCGAGTAGTTTTGTTAATTAAAAACTATGTTGTTGATCACGAGCATGATTCTCCTATCGTCGTCAGTCTATGCCTCTACCAGCCGTTCTTCCAGACAATTATTACAGTACATCCATTGGGAACGAAAATTCTTGACTGAAAATTGCTTTTTGTATCAAATCCCCGTGTAAAAGCGTGCACTCACTGAGGTCAACAACTGTTTTATAGCAAGGTAAGTTTCGCTTCATCCGACTTATAATTTCTTGAAGCGAAGTGCAGTAAAGCGGAATCTGATGTGATGTGGTAGCTTTTCCGACAACTATTCACCTAGGTACTAGGATATAATCAGTGACCTTGAAAAACGGAGTAGTTTCCAAATTGGATGCCACTTCCCGAGAGACTTATGCATACGTATACTCTCTTTTTTGTCTTCGACCTGATAATCGGCAGCTTGCGAAATCGAAAATCGACGGTGTCGACTTCCTAGGTGCTACTTGCGCATAGTTGAGAAAAATTAGTGGTGCTCCTAAAATTTGTCACTCTTTTCAGTTGCCAACTCAAATTTGGAAGCAGAGAAGACCTCGATTTCTCATTGTCGGCAAACCGTGCACCGGAAAAACGACGTTGGCACGATGCATGGCCTCCACATGGAATTGTGAATTAGTCAATGGTAAGCTGTCTCGCGTTTCCCTTCACGTTTTAAGCAGGAGCAGTTTTTTACTTTAGCTGCTGATGATTGCAAGTTCTTCAGTCTTGATTTGATAGAATCACATTTCCGATCAGGTGTATTGTTATTTGCAGTCCGAGATTGTCCGTCTGCGTTAATGACAAGGGGGTAAATTATTTTCAGCACGATATTATTCATTATGGGGGTATATTTTAATATGATTACAAGATATGATAGGAGATCAGCAGATTAAACCGACGGGTCTAACCGTCGGCTGCCGCACAGTTGGGTTATCATCCCTCACTACTTAACCAAGTGGACCGACGGTTGAAGGAAAGAAAGGGGCCAAAATGTGTGGCAGAACACTAGAAACGGTCATGTTTGCTTTTCCGCCTACATTTTGTACGGCCCATCAATGTAGTCTTTCTCATGGTAACGGTTCTGTATTTTTCGGCGCACAGAATTGCATGCAGTCGTAAAGCCGGGTGTCATGCGCTGCACAGAATTAGTTTTTCTGTTTTTAGTTTAATCTTGCAGCCATACCTAGGCCAGCTGGTGGTTTTTAACACAAAGTTGCGTGCATGCCCGTTAATTTAAATCTTCCAGTTAAACGTGCTGAATAGGCACACATTTGTCTCAGGCTTGACCTCTGAGAAAGGTCTTACTCAATTTCTTTTTAGCTCAATTCATTCAGGAAAGTCAATGTTTTGTGAGCGTACTGATGACATAAAACCAAGTAATCGCCCTGTCTCCTATGAAGTTAGCACTGCCATGTTCACGGTGAACTCATCCACTTTTGACGAAAATAACAAGAATTTGTGTTCTGGAAGAGAGCTCATTCAAATATCACTGGCACGGAAATGCACCCATGAGGTCTTAAGACTTGCAGGTTCTTCGATTGATCGGCATCGGACTCTAACTAATTTAACTACTCACGAAGGGTGCTTATTTGGACGTTAGAGTCTTATCCGCATATGAACAGAAGGAAAATATTAACCTTGCTCATTTTCATCTACGACCGAAAACCATTTCATCGTGGACTACTTCAGCATCAACCAGTTTTAATCGAAAGCCATTCTCAGTGACCCAAATGATGTCGACTGTAAATACTCATTTCTAGCTGACCTTGGAATCTATTAGGCCTATCCTGTAGTTCACAGGATTCTCATTTGTCACAAGTCATTGCATATCCATTGATATGTTAGCCGTTACTGACCGTTTCTAGCCAGTGAACTGATTCAAAAACACATGGAGTTGGACGATTATTATGGGAAACAGATCAAGGAACTGATGATGGCGGGACAAGACCTGGATGACATGTTGGTGATTAACTTAATGAAAACGAAATTAGAGTCACCTGAATGCCTGGAAAATGGCTACGTTATTGACAGTTTCCCAACATTCAGTGAGAAGGCTCTGTCTGTGGCGAGGCAACTAGAGTTCCTGGATTCGCTTAATCCTGGGCCGGAATACGTGATCGACCTTCAGGTAAGCATGTTTCATATGAGACATATCTAGGATACGTATATACTAGTTTACCAGCAGACACGCTTTTAGCAATCGAGTGACCTTTGTTAGTGGTCTCATGCCGGTATCAGCAAGATGGTCTCTACGCCATTGTTCACATCCACCGACCATCGCGTGCGACTCATTACAAGTGGACTGATATATCACTATCATCATAATTTCGAATAATGCTCTCAATTTTAATGATCTTAATTCTTGGAGCTTGTGTGATAAAAAGCTGCCCCCCAACTTAACTTACCTAGTTGTAAAAAACGCTCAGTGTACTGAAGAACCAGTAATTGGCTCCCTGATGACTGAGACAAGCCAGTCATGGGAATAACAGGTGACATGGTTTTATGCTCTGTGAGAGGGTGTAACTGCTGGTACGACAACAGTGAATGCCCTCGAGTAGCGATATGGAATTCTGTCGGGTAATTTGAAGTAAGACCCGCTGCGTCCCTTTACTCAGCTAGTCGGACCGTATCCGCCTATAGCTAACTTAATGGCACATTAAAACGTGGAAGTATGATTCTGAAACAATTACTTGCTGAGATCCTAAAACGCCACAGAAGACGGATAAAAGGATTTGAGGACATTTGTAATAGAAACAAGGAAATGAACCAATATCGAGGCGGAAATTCTCCCCTGCCTGCCGTTCTCCTATCTGGTTTAACCAATTAGGTTATCTATTTTTCCACCTTACATTCTTTCAACCTGTAACGGACTGTCAAAACTAGCTACTTTTGGCAAGTACCAATCAGTCATCAGAACACATGCTAATGAGATGACCCTGATTGTCATGTATTATACTCAGTAGCAGTCCGCATGCCGCACATCTATAGTATCATCAACAAGTGCAGGGACAGAGTTCGGTCAGAATTTAGGCGATGCTCATTGCATCTGACAACCCTTGTGATCAGCCATGCTATGATTCACAGCATTGTACCTACTGCCGACTCATCTTTATGCGGATATGGTGGTTTAAATTTTTCAAAAAGCTTACATTACTCAAAAACAACAGCAGTATTTACGAACACCGAGTTCCCCGATGTTTTTAATCCCTGGTCGTAACGTACAATACATACAACCAATTCAATGACTGCCAACGAAGGTCAAATACTTGCACGTTCCACCAAAACTGTATGGCACCCCAAGCTACAGACTCCTCGTGATACAGTGAGATACTTGCTGGAGTTATTGCCCATGGGATTAACCAAGGAGTCAACCGAATACGTAATTCAGAAGCGAGTGGACTGAGCCTGAGATGTGCATTAAATCCACATAGCACAAACAATAAAATCTTTACAGTGTCGATAATGAATGGCTAAGTAAAAGCAAGTGTCTTTTCTTTACCTCAGGAGTAACCCCATATTGGCATGGACTAATTCGCAAGACAGATTGTATGCTACTCACCCTCACCCCTTGCACATCAAACATACTGCATTCAACCGCCCACACAACCAGCTGTCCGCTGGTCACACTCAAAGCTAAATTGCGATAAACTTAACATCACTATCATTAATTCTTGTTGTTTTTGGAAGACAGCACAGCAACATGTTTATTTTATTTTTGGTGTGGTTCTTAGTTCAACCAGTTCTTGACTTCAAGTAGTTTGACTGACTTGGTTCTTAAGGGTTGTTTTATTGACAAGATGCTGCAGTCATTAGCCATTTGTACCTCGAAAATCGTTTATCGTTCAAGGACCAATCGAAACTAATAGTCGGGAATATGATGCTGGGATTATGTTGTTTGTCAGTGATAAGTACCAAAAGATGCAGAGGAGACTTCAAAATCAGAAACGCGCATAAAGGAGACCCGGAATTTAGGAACACTTGATGATCCGTGGAATTGTCATGAAACTATGAACGAAAGATTTGGGCGTCCTACAAGTCTTATTATGAAGTGACAACCACGGCCCTTTTAAAAGTACTACTGAGTCTGGGAATGTCTTTATGTTTCTTTAAGCATGGATTTCACAAACTGAGATAGAGTCGACTCAAGTAGGTGCCTTTGAATATTCCTTAGTTTTTCAAACGTGTGATAGATTTGCGTAAGTAGCGCATCCCGGCTCGTCAAACTGCCAACTTGACACGCATAGAACCCGTTTAACAGCTTCTTAATTCCCCCATGTCCGTGTTTCTTGATAAGTGATTAGATGTGAGACAAACACTGATTATTATTGGGTAAGTGACCACTTCCACAACCCATCACACTCGGCAGTTAGAGACATGTTTGTCCTTTACCAAGTTGTTTAACTATATTCGGTTCCCCAAGAGTGTTTGGAGCTGTTGGCTTACAAATCTTACTATTCCACTTGCACTTGGATACACGTCAGATACCTGATTCGATCATGCGAGACCGATGGAAAGCGGTGAAATTGGACTTGGAAACTGGCGATCTCCTAAGTCCCATATCAAAACAAGGCCGCCACTTGCCAAACTGTTGCTTCGTTGCCTGCACAAGAAAACGACCAAAGAAGCATGGCCAGCTAATCACACGGCATGAAGAACTGGCAGAAAACATGGAAGCCAACATTGCCTTCTATCAAGATGTGGTCGAACCTCAACTACGAGATTGGTTGGAAAAACGATTTGGTGATATGATTATCCCAATGGACGCCGATTTATCAAACGACGAGCTGTTCCAAGTGAGTTCGCGTGCACTTGTCCCATACTGGGAATACGTTCCCAAGTTACTAATTTCGATAAAAATAAATCCCTTCGGAACTATTCAAGAAGTGTAAAAGCTCCAGGTTCCTTTGTGAAGGCCAACAGCCACACTTCTGAGACTATTCTAATGCCTTTCGTAGTGGGAATCTTTCCCAAGTTACTAATTTCGATAAAAATAAATCCCTTCGGAACTATTCAAGAAGTGTAAAAGCTCCAAGTTCCTTTGTGAAGGCCAACAGCCACACTTCTGAGACTATTCTAATGCCTTTCGAAGTGCTTCCAAAAAAACTCGATGTAATCGATTGGTAATCGGTAACAGTAAATGGCTTCTCCGAATTGATGTACCAACGCGATAAATTACTTCCAGGGCCAATTATAAAAAAACTATCTGTCACACATTGTGCACGTAGTTAGCATAGTCTCCGCCGTTGGAACTTTTTGTCATGAAGTTGTGCACTTTGACTAACGTAAGCTCTTTGAACCATTTATTCTAAAGGAGTTATAGCTGAAGAAATTACCATTGAGATGCCTATAACTCCAAGAGGATGAAAACCAGTCATACCGTTGTTACAGCTGTATCAACGATAGTTCGTTATCGCACAAAGAAAACCACTGGGATATGATACAAAAGTTCCCATTCCACGATTATGTTAATTCGAGCGCTTTTGTCACTTACGGCACGTGTGGCTTCGTGGTTTGGTTGATAGCAGTGCTAAAACGGCAAGCGGATTCCATCTTCGTGACAATGAATTGTTCGTTGAGAACAGCTAGTAGAGTCTCAGTGAACTGCAGTTTAAAGATACGAAGTGATTGCTAGTGATCAACAGACTTGTGGTATCTCTGTGATCTGTGTTACTCTTTAAAGTCGTCATAAGGAGTAGGTCCAACAGCAAATGAAGATGGGCGACAACAGACTAGGTCTGCATCCAAAGTTAGCTCGTGATGGCCTCAAGTGGTAGTAGCATCAGTAAGCGCACTTCTGACTTGAACCAAACACATCAATGCAAATTCCAGCTCGTGATGGCCTCAAGTGATGGTAGCATCAGTAAGCGCACTTCTGACTTGAAAGCATGTCCTGCCACGGAAAGTGAGCTATCCTAGAGTATTCATGGATAAAACCTATGTGTAGTCAAATACCGCTTGGATTTCAAATGATTACTGCATCACTCCCTTCCTACGAAAGTTATTACCAAGTGTGCTCACTCATCTATACAAACCACCGGTACTCGAGCCATTATCGACTGTTAAAACCACCAGATGTCATGCAGCTCATCCCCCATCGCTTCATCAGTAATGTGTGAATATCGACGAGTAGTTCAGTGCTCCTAAAGTTACCTTCCGAAATTTGCACATTGGTCCACCAAGGGAACGCACTTCAAAAGAACCGAGCGCTACTAAACGATAATAAACGATAATAATAATAAGTAATAAATGCGCAGAAAGATATTTATTCAAACATCTCTATGATCTATAACTCCATTATCTTTCTCCCGGTTAAGGATAGTGAATTCAAATTAATGCATAATAAAGCCCATACTTTATTGATTCAGTGTTCAGGCCCATTCGTGCTTCATCTCTCGAGAGGTGCAGAGGTGCCTGTCTGTGCCTGTCAATGTCTATACCGAAAAAAAAACATGTACGAAAGGCTCACACTGATGAAACGGAACTTAATATCATCGTAGGGTTGCAGAAATATCAACCTCAAGAAGTCTTTATCACTATGCAGGTCGGTCTACGTGCCAGACACAACAGTTTTGTTTTTGTTTCTTGTTTTTGTTCTTGTTTGCCCAAACACGCTGGAAAAAAACCATGGGACCACCTATGCTTCTTATTATATGGCCATTTTCCATAGGTCACACTAAATGATTTTTTTGTTAAAAACCGAATTCCCCAAATCAAAGAATATTACACTGAACAAGTACTGCAAATACACCGGAACTTCTGAATGACGGTGACAAAACTATCAGATAACATCGTGGCGCTGTCTCGTCAAACACTATTTCCATGACTGTTACTACATTCCGCCTCGAAATCTTCGCACTCTCCCTGGTAAACCTCTGCCAAGCATATTGATGAAACTTCGACTGACGTCCTTTATGCATCTATTTCACAGCAGCCACCAGATAAGGCTTTGTGCCTCTTTATTTGCAGCACTAGCGTACTCCACAGGATTTCAGTCAGGTGGAGCTCAGGAGCTCTCTTTTGGTAGCCCAATAACTTCACGAGTAGAAATAGAAGTCAACCATTGATTAAATGAGACGCCGTCGCCGCTGTATTGAATATGTCAATATTTCACTCGTCTCTCCACTTCTAACAAGTCTCAGGCCTCTCAAACGTGCGCTCTTACAATCAATCTCATACATTTTATTACAAAATTATCATGGGAAAAAATCTCATATCCTCAAAGAAGCGAGTAAATGTATGCGAATTAGGAGCCAAACAATTTGAACGTAAATGCAATACGAAAATGACTGCATCACATTGGACAGTTTTACAAAGGTGCTTCCGCCAGAAAAGCAACTAATGTTTTTGCAGTTAGTGTGGATTACAAAAGTGCGGACAGTTCGTTATCCTGATGTAGTCCCGGCAACAGTTAGAACTCGATTCTTCAAATGAGGTCATAGTTGATCTCTCACCTACCCGTGTCTCATGTTCAGTTTGTGGTTATTTAGGAGCTTGAGATCACATAAACACATTGTCAGTAGTCATTGCATCGCAGAGATTAACACAACTTTTAATTGAAGCCAATTGGTCACCCTGATTCCTTTCTTGAGGTACTACAACGAAAGATGCAAATCATCGAAAGCAATCCAGGCTGTCCACCCCGGCAACTATTCACTGACAAGGAGAAGGCATTCCTCGGAGCCTGTTGCCGTCACTGTGGTTCGCGATATGGTGAAATAGAGGTGCGTTACATCCAGTTATAGACATTTCCATCTTTTAGCCCCTGCCTGACTTGTGGACCGATAAGCCACCTCGGTTTGTCATATTTGGGAAACCGTGTACAGGGAAAACCACATTGGCAAAACGTTTGTGCACCCTGTGGAACTGTGAACTTGTCAACGGTAAGTCCAATATTGGAATCTCATGATATCTCAATTCAGCAACTGATCTTGTTCACAAACACCTTTCACGGAACACGAAGACCGGACAAAGGATACGTGGTATTTTAGACCAAGGTCAAGACTTGTCTGATCAGTTCGTGATTGACATGTTGGTGGAGAAGCTGAATTCTCCAGGATGTACTGAAAACGGTTACATATTGGATGGTATTCCTACGTTTAGTGAAAAGTCGAAATCTATTGGAAGCCAGATTGAGTTCTTAAAGACTTTAAAGCCGGAGTACATAATCAATATAGTGGTACGTTGCAGACACATTTTCCTCGCCTATTTTTTTCCGTAAGAGATTGACAAAAGTCGTGTTCATCTGATTAAACTGAGCACCATGGTGGGTGGGATTTCGACATTGCAATTGGCTAGGGGTAGCTAGTTATTGTGCTACGATTCTTTGATTTGTTTCATTGAAAGCGGTGAGCTAATTTCGACGAAGGCTAATCTGAATCACAAGAAAAGCTTTTGATTGTTCTCTTGCATTATTACGATAGCACAATCAATAGAGCACGCCGACAGAGATGTACATGGACGCTGCGCGCAAGCCGCGAGTTATTACCATTACGCATTAGTACAACATGCAAGATAATTGTGAACTTTTCCAATCCGTTCGACACCTAACTCAGTTAGCTATAGACAATTGTGTCTTCTGTCCGCAAAAACAGCCAAAACCGGTGGAACATCTAGAAAGAACTGATTATGGAACCTGAAATAAGGGAAGGCTGGAAATAAATATAAAATCGTTTCAGAACTCAGTACCATGAGCCGAATTGTTGCATGAAGTCCTGTATTTGCAAAATAAGATGGAGAAGTAAGTCCAGTGGATCACTTGTCGTATCTGCTGTAACTAGCCCACAGCCTTAGCACAAACGACCGTACACCATAAACGACTTTATAAGGACACGAACTTAATAGGGTCGGTAATAAGTAACCAACATGAAAGCCCAGAATGCGAATCTCTTGAATATTCGACCGCTTACATACGGGAAAATGCTTAAGACCTTCCATAAAAGTTGGTCTTGTGCTCATGGTTTCGGTCTGCATTCAGGGCGCCCAAGAATGGGCAGCGTCGTCTATCTCGATTGATTCAATCGGGATCTGTAGAGAGTCACTTTCTACCAAAGTATGGTTCAAAATTCCCACCGCACAACATTCCGGGCTGCGATCGGTTACCAGCGTAAAATATCACCATGATGGGTTGTGAGAATTTTTCGTGATCGTTTGGTACAAAGTGTGTCATGGCTTTCTGGCGTACTCAATCAACCGAAGCGCACACTGACGATCTGCATCAACTAAGCAATACCACTGAACTTCGCCGGAGAATATGGGAAATTCGACAGATGGGGTATAACGGTGTTGCTGTTCGGTCGAATAACTGAAAGAGGGTAATGTGTGGACACGGATCACTGTAATATCAATTTTGTACGCGAAATTTGACGCCCAGCTGCCTTCTAATGTCTGACTGAAAACGATGTGTTTTTGGCTCAAAATATGTGTGACCAAAAGGAAAGAGTCTACGATGTTCATCTCATTGACCCTATGCAATGAAGGAAACTACTCACAAGGTTGCTGGAAACTCTTCGACAGCGACTTTGTACGCGAAATTTGACGCCCAGCTGCCTTCTAATGTCAGACTGAAAACGATGTGTTTTTGGCTCAAAATATGTGTGGCCAAAAGGAAAGAGTCTACGATGTTCATCTCATTGACCCTATGCAATGAAGGAAACTACTCACAAGGTTGCTGAAAACTCTTCGACAGCGACCAGTTTCGCCCTTCTTGGGGCTCATCAGGTAGGCGCAGTCCCCGAGTTTCCGTCAAACTTATGCTCTACTTGAACCCAAATTGCACTGTTTTCGAGAAATACACTCATTTGCAAATCAATTTGGTTTTCACGAGAGACTCAACTCAATATCTCGTTTATGATATTCTCGGAAACAGTGCAATTTGGGTTCAAGTAGAGCATAAGTTTGACGGAAACTCGGGGACTCCGCCAACCTGATGAGCCCAAAGTGGAAGGGTGAAACCGGTCGTGGGCTGTCGAAGAGTTTTCAGCAACCTTTATAAATATATGGAGGCCAGTTTAGAATTTCAGTGAACCAACACGTAATAAATTTATTGCCCAGGATAGATGATGAGTTGTAAACCGTGGTCAAACCACCGGAACCCCAAGGCGAGGGTGAGCTCATATAGGAATGCTTTCCCATTATCGTCATTTTCTACCTTGCACATCCAGCTTGTTGTCACCTTTATGCAACTCACTTTTTAGGAATATGCCTGGCAGTTGAGGGTGAGATGGAACAGGATATTTTAACGACAGCAAAAGCGGTATCTCTAAGATAAACAGGCTTTGGCCGTCACTTGTGGAGTCTAAAACCTACAGCAGTATGCTTGGAAAACAGTGTTCTAAGTTCACACGAGAAGAAGAGATTGCAGGCGTTATTTGAACAAGGAAAGGGAATCCAATGAGTGTATCCGCGAGAACGCGCGGATGATCATTGCTTTTGAACGCTTATACTCACACAACCCACTCTGTGACTGCTGCGAACAACGGACCCGATAAGCCCATTGGACCAAACCACACAGAGAGTGGACCCTCCTGAGTTATTCGACACGATGCCGTAGTTGAACATGACATTACTGCGATGTAAAGACATCTGAGAATTAACGAAGCTGGACCCATCGTACTGCTCTTCGGTCTCAGCTCCTTGGAGATTTCAATACTCAGAAAGATAAGTTGTCGTGAGTGGTGACTGCATCTTCTTGGGATACCGAATAGCAGTACCAACGAAGGTACAAAGGAGGCTACTTGCATAACTACAGAGCACACATCCAGACATCACGAAGATAAAGGTCACGGGGCAATTTTGTGTCCTAAGATGGATGCAGGTATCAATCATCTAATCAGATCATGTGGTATCGGTCAGCAGCACCAAAAAATAAAACCATCTGGGCCGATCCATCTTTAGCGGTGATCGGACAAACCGTGACAACGCATGCGTGTAGACAAACTCATAACCTGAGGAAGCTTTTGTATCAAAAGTGAAACGTCGCCCAGAGATAAATAACCAACTGTTTCCCAAACTTTTCCGAAAATAGATTAAGGTATATTTGTAATGCCTGCTGATTCGCCAGTCTGTTGTATCTGACTGCTGACCCAGTTCCAGTGCCTAGTGCCGGAAAAAGACTCACCGAAGGGAACAAAACAGCTTCATTCCGAGCAAACGAGTGCGAGAGCGTAAGTGCGAAAATACAACGGCCTGAGGCTATTTTATTGGAGGAACACTCCGAGCTTTGTCCAACACTGACTCACACTGTCTGGATTTGGCATGAGGCTGTGACGCACTGCTATTAAGTGGGAGTTGTCTGAGCATCTAGTGGAGTTGATGGATTCAGTAGATTTTAGGCATTCACTGATTACTTTCAGGACTCTGTAAGTATTCATTCATTCGTTCGTGGGAATTCGGAAACAACGACTGACAACCGTGTAAACTTTTTGCGCAATTTGAGTGCACCCTGAAGCGAGGCGACAGACAATCCTCCTTCGTTCGTCAGTTAAGTTTTTCTAGTCTTTCTCCTCAGGAGTTGTACCGTATCCATCCGATCAGTGCCTTAACATCTTGCATTGAATAATCTGGTTCAATGCCTAGTGCGTACGGTGAAACAGAGCCTCTCAAAGCAAGGATTTGCGCAGAATTAGAGTAAACTCTATAGGTCCCTGTTTACCTATCACACAATACCCAAGGAGTCCACTGGGAAGTTAGTCTGGTTGGGCATTTTGTGTAAGAATACACGTTCTCCTCCCTAATCCTAGAATATAAATAAAATCCAGGAAACGGTAGGTAGCTGGACTAACGATTAGATTTTACACTCAAAGAACCTGACAATGTGTACAGCAAACTAATCGAAGAATGCCGCTGGTATTGCAGCACAACGATATTGAACTGCGACTTGCATGTGGTATCTTCGTCCGTCGACCCTCATTTCCAGCATTCCCGGATTTGTTTATATCAGCTGAAATTGCGTCTCCTCAGGCCGTGGAAGAAGGAATCGAGATGCAAAACCGTAAGCCAGTCTCAGGTGTTAGACTCGGTATTCCTCTGACGATTTGCATGGCGGACGGATTTCAACCATAAACATGGAGCAAATCTTAAGCGGAAAAAATGTGACAACGTGTCTCATGCATCGTATGCATATCTAAAAAGACACCTGCAAGCGAAGCACATTTTGAGCTCATTGTCTCTTTCACATTCATTTCGTTATCTTCCCGTGCAGTTTGCCGTAGTTTAGGCAGTGCGTCCGTATCAATCAAGGCTAGAGTTACATTAGAGTACATACTATGCGTCACTTATTAGACACACTTCTCAGTGCTCTATGTTGAAAAACAATTCATTTGCACCACGATTAGGAGGTTACTTCAAACTACTAACTATTTACCTTGCTGTCTCGGTGTAAATAAATGCATTGAGTCCCATCATACAATGGTTAACGAGCTTTTTCACTACTCAATACGGCTAACGGTGTTCATGTTCAACCTAAACTGAGAAGGCTGTTCTCCAATTCAGATTTATTTGAAAGAATAACAGGAACGCCCTTAGACATGAAGTAGTGATGCTAAAAATCGGTGGGATCACCTAATAAGCGCTGCAGTCACATTTGGGCACGATTATTTCCAGACTTTGTATGGATAAACAGATCTCATGCATACAGCAAATTATGCCACCTCTAATGCCCGATAACCTTCCATAGGCTTATTCAAATATCTATATTTTGGCCGTTTTTAATGTTGTGAGTCCTGTGCCTTCCGCCAAAAGAGGAGCTCCACGCAAGCCAATTCACACGTTAGGCTTATTATTGTATTCTTCGGTATCCGAATGAAGATCCGATAGAAGTTCATTTTTGTTATCTTTTCCGCGCCATCGGGTGGCAGATGGGCTAAGTGTAGTTGTAAACTAAGTGAAGAGGCTTCATCCGCTACTTTTTTTCACACTACAGATATCCGACGAAGACTTACGTAAGCGCTGGGAGACAGTACGAATCGACGTGTCGGACGGTGCACTGTATATGCACGGACTCACTGGCAGAACCGATTGCCATGCAAGAAAAGACCACACACGAGTATTCGGTCATCCCAACTTTCCGAATTTAGACAAACCTACGATTACACGACACGAAGAATTACCAGAAAATCTAGACCAACATTTCATTTTCCATCATGCACATGTTTCACCAAAGATCAAGGAGTTCATTCAAGCGTATGATCAGTCAAAGATAATTACGCTTGATGGTGAATTAAGCTCAATGCAAATGTTGAATGTGAGTGACGCAGATTTATTGATTTTCTACTTTAGCCACTTATCCATATCCTGTTATTGCAATACTGTCTCATGATTTGAGTGCTGTTTGCAAGTGAAATAAAAAATGATGTTTCTGTCATTCTTATTAGTAAAATAAGCACCTCGAAGATTCCCTCGATGAAAGATTCGTTATGAATAAAGTACTGATTTTGTCCTTGGAGAAGCACGCAACTGACTGAACTGCTCAATCCATGGGAAAAATTGGGCGATGCTGAGTTTATACCTTCGGTTTCAATCAGTTAAGGCGTAACTACAACGACGGAATACCATAGAAGCCTTATTGGCATCCGTTCTAAGCGGAGTCCTGAAGACTGAATCTGAACCTAATCACCCTTCACTGTCACCAAAGGTATAGTTGATGTGAAAACAAATTTTAAACCGAGTGGTAAGCCGTATGCTAAACAGTTTTATTCCAAAACTTGGGTCTCTGATTCACCGTAGGTTGATGTGCTAAGTGAAACCGGTTGGCGCCTCACTCTTATACCCATATTCCCTGGGTACGCCCAGAAATCAACGTACCTGCATATTTAACTGATAACTTTGCGACAAGATGAGTCCGTTTGAGTATAACATACGACAAAGTTTGTCATTATGCAGACCACCTATCAACGTGGCGTACTCAAGCACAGTGGTCGGTGTCAAGGCACTCGCAGTTATAGATTCACCGTTTATCGTAGTGGTGTGGGATGAAGATATCCTATAGAATCGGAAGCTCAAGATCGGGCATCACACTATCGATCCAAGTTTTCCGGTGAGAGGTCGTGCATGAAATGTGTGTATTTGACCAAGTATCAGTCTGTCGGTACAACCAGGGTGTCAGGCTAATTACTCAAGTCACTTCAGAGTATGTGGGTGAGTATGCTGCTCGCACATAGGGTGATAAATTCAGTTAGGACCAAATTTCATCATGTTCAACAATGTTTAGTGCCGAGTTTGAACAAAAATGCATTCTTAACCATGTGGTCTAATACTGTCAAATTACTAGCACGGGGACAAGAAGGAGACTGACCAAACAAGAATTATGTGTATATGATTTTTGCAAATACTACAACTGGTTATAATTTAATAAAGGTCACCCTGGAAAAAAATGTACACGAACAATTAGGGATTAGGACCTTTCTTTGACTTAGCAATTCATTGGCGAGGAAGCACAGTCATTTGCAAATTATTTTGGTGTTGAAGAAAGACTCATTTGGATCTCACGTGTTTGAATAGTATGTTATGCCAAGCAAACACCGTATTTGTTTTCAGAATGTGCTCCACAAACTCAACGTCATGTCCACGAACCCGAATATCTCAACGAGAGACCTGTTCGATGAAAAATACTCAGAAGAATCAAATGACCTGGTCTCCACTGTTTGTGGGTGTGAGAAACACATTACACTACGGATTGACGTGAGTCTAAACTTTATGAGTACACGGGTAGTTCTTTATTTAAAGATCCGTTGATCTGACCTTGCATATCATCGTCCTTATCATCATCATCATTAGCTGTAGAAACCACGTGCTTGCCATACTGTGGTTACAGCTGCCACCTGCATATCAGCCGCATCATTTCTAAATTGCAATTGTTCTCCTAGTCACTTCCAGAGTTGTGGCTTAACAAACCACCTCGAGTGGTCATACTGGGTAAACCACGTTCTGGGAAAACCACCTTGGCCAAAGGTCTCAGTACCCTGTGGAATTGTGAACTAATATCTCGTAAGTTGATTCTCTTCGTTTTTACCATTGGTGTCAAGCTTTTGGATTTTGAGCATCACTATATCAATATTTGACATTTTACGTGCAGTTTTTTAAATTACAAATGGTTCTTATGAGGGGCTAGCAAACCAGCACCGATGAGGAACTGCTTAACTCGGTGGTGTCTACTAAAACATGTATGCTCCAGATTTGTGGTAATCCATAACAAAATCAACTGATCCTAAGCGGCTTTCTTGTTACACTTCACAGTGCACCGTCAGATGGTTGGACAAAACAATAGTAATAATAATAATAATATGTGACACGCTTCCGGTACCTATCTGCTGTGACACCCGAAGAAACCGTGAGGGCCGAGATACTGTCAGATTGTTCAAGCCTAGAGGGAATCAGTTGAGATGAGTTCGAAGCGCAAGCTTTCTGGTTCAATGGTTCGCACCTTAACCACTGATGGATCTCGAGCTTCATGGTTGCACATGGAGCTAACTAAAATGGACTGGAACGAAACATACTACAGTATAATCCACGGATGAACCTTTGAAAGAAAATGATGTCTGGCGTGATGGAAGTATACCAGTCCGTCAGTGAAATGGCAAAATGATGGCAACAGCCAGATGTCCAACTCATCTCCGTGCGCATTCCGAAAAAAGATGAGACGTTTACATCTTAGGTACATGATGACTGCGAAGACATATACCCATTACTCGGCTCTTCACACCGGCACCAATGTAACTAACAGGGGTTCGGGAGATAAAAGCTATTGTCAGCCACCCATGGTTAGTTTTACTCTGCGTAACTTTGCTGTACGTTGCTGTTACCAGCTGAAAAGCGTCTGCTGTAAATTCGGCTCTGGTTCGACTTGTCACATATGAGCCAGTCAGCGGCTTTCCATTCTTGACTTGCGTTACCTTTGCCAAATTTTACAAAGCGACGTACGTTTGTCGTCGTTAGTATTTAGAGTTCGTAAGTTTTAGTCAGACTCCGTATAGCAATTAATAGGCCAGATAAATAGACAGGTAAGTAGGTAAGCAAACATCCGATGGGGTTCAGCAAAAAATTCGATAGAAACAGCCAAAGAAAATAACTGAACGTAGGGTGCTTGATAATATCCTCAGGTGTACACTGTGTCCACGCACTAAAAACAAGACAATGCTTAGATCCATGACTTCCAGCCAACCGACCAATCCATCCACTAGCTAGGCTGCTGCGAATGCTATCGTATGCACTTACTCTGTCCTTGTGATTCGCCACATTCCTCATCGACTTATTACCAGCTGAGATCTGGCCGGGCTACCACAACACTTCAAACCAATGACTTTTGAGAACAGTAGAGATTTCAAGGCCAAACCCACTGAGGGAGAGGATCACCATCGGTGCTGAAAATATCTGCCTGACGCATCACCAGACGGAGAGGTGAAGTGAAATTCGTGTGATACAGCGCATCTTCTATAGTAGCTGGACTGGGATTCGTCCCATAAATGCGGAACGTGGGGCCTCTCATACAGGTTTCAACATGATCCTGATGTATAAACAAGACACACTATATGAACGAAAACTGTCCTGAAGAATTCTTGGAATCAACTCCATAGCCCATTTCTGCTATGATGCAGAAGCGGCTACAGTAGGAGCCCGCAACTAACTGCCGAATAGAGAATAATTTCCCGTAACAACGACGCCAGGACACAGTTCCTCCTTTTAATAGGAAAGCTCCATCAGACGAGCGCAAGTTATGTACAGACTACTCATGATGTTTCAGAAAACCCTTTGGCAACCCACAACCGGTTTCGCCATTCTCGAGGCTCATCAGGTGGGCGTAGTCCCCGAGCTTAAGGGTACCATGAATGAGAGATTCAGCTAGATTCAAAGCGAGTCACCCGTCAAAACCAAATAGGTATGCAAATGAGTGAGTGCATTTCACTAAGTTATGTGCATCCTCCGAGCTAGCGAAACCATCCGGCAATTGGGCGGGAGAAATTTTACCTGCGCGAAGGAACACTTGGGCAGAGAAAAATAATACATATGGTCTAAAGTTTTACCTGTGTACTTGAGTTCGTTGTTTCGGGTGAGATGTAACGAGGAAGTAAGGAAATTTGAATGTTGCTAAGTTATTTAACATTACCCATGTTACTCACCACTCGTGCATCTTCCAAAGGTCCCTCCAGGGAACTATTTTCCATTCCCGTAAAAGCCCAAAGTTGTGTGCGTTAACTAAATCTGACAAAGAAATCGAGGATTGTGGACACTTGTTTTGTTAGCCACCGCCACTACACGTATAACGTGCAGATCGAAACAAGAAGTTGTTGAACCCAGAAACGAAGACTTAACTGTCCGGCCTGGGTCTGAAACCCCAAAGGAAGATCAACCGGTAATAGGTTCGACTTGGAGGCAATCCTGCACAACTTAAGTACTATTTCACTGTATGCTAAAGCATATTCATTTCACAGTAGTGTCTGTTTCACAATTAGTGTTATAATGGTTTAAAAATTAATAGTCCACAACTTCGCTCTATCTCGGTTTTAATTAAGACCGAACATCCGGATAAAATCTCTTATCCAGAAACGACTTGGTGATTCCTATTAATTAACTCCAACTTATATGGATGAAACTCCAACGATCGAATTCCGGTTCGTCTGATAGGTTGTGGATGTCACTTGAATAATTTATTTTTTGTTTTGAAGCAAAAAAATACAGTTATTTCGTCTGTAATCTCAACACTATGTAGTGAATGAGCTGATTGAAAAGGAAGTCAACTCGGACAGCATCATCGGGGCGCAGATACGGGCGTCCATGGTCGACGGCCCCGGATTGAGTCCACCAATGATCATGGAAATGATCAATGCGGCCATCAACAAACCCAGGTCAGTCAGCCACGGCTACATTTTGGATGGACCGCCAACAAATAGTTCTGAAGTCGGTAACCAGCTGAGGGCACTCTGTTCTCTTCCGAACGGACCGGAGTATGTAATTGAGCTCAAGGTAAGCTGGAGAAGAATGAGATGAACAAATTTCATTCCTTCAGTAGGTTCCCACCTGTGCCAGGGGAGTAGATTACCGTTTCGATTTGCATCAAGCCAACATATTTCAAGGCACACAACCCAACCAACAGTCTTTGTGTATCACACTTATTGCGACAACTCCTATTAGGAAAATAGTGCAGGAAACGCCGTTGTAAACATCTTTTTTTCCTCGAATTTTTCGAATGTTTTATTACTTGGACTGAAATATTGTGTGCTGCCGAATGAATCTATTACTACGAAAACACTCCTAATTGAACATGAATACATTCGTAAAACAGCCGTAAAATTTCATTCGAATCACCCTGGAGAGATGAAGAGAACGAACAACTAGTAAAGTAATACAATGACTGCTAGTGGGGATACAGTGCAGAGATCTACACTACTCGAGCTTGAACAAGGTTGAGATTGGAAACAGATTATGGATTGAGTAGCTGTAAGATTGTTGAGAAAAATTACGAAGCTCCAAGAAAGTCCCCGTGGAGTTTGATCACATCAAAGCCTCATTCGAAGTTAAAAGTATACGAAAATTTACAAAAATTACACCACGAAGTTGTAACTTAGCTGGTACTAACGTCAGTCATAGAAGGGACTGGTTGGATGTTTGCTTGCATTATCTGTCCAGCCACGTGTACACTATGACAGTCAACATAGTTAAGGCCGAATGCTCACAGCCGTTCCGGCCGAACTCATCTTAGCTCACTTATTACAGCTGCAAAAGACATTGCTTCTCAAAGTTGTCTACAAATTTAGGTCCATGTAACCGGCCCAAATGAAGTAGCGCTGTTTGAAAATCGGTTGCGAACGCTCCCAAATCGGTACGTAGCCCAACAACGGATAACGATATGCACACCGGCTGACAGCATAACGATATGGCTATTCTGAATGCTGCATGTAGTCGACGATAAGTCTTTGAGTAACGCGGTTTGTTAACCGCAGGCATTTCGTACAAAAGTCATCGGACTGTCAGACTATACAAATAGCCATAACGATATATTCTGAATGCTGCATGTAGTCGACGATAAGTCTTTGAGTAACGCGGTTTGTTAACCGCAGGCATTTCGTACAAAAGTCAGTCATCTGTCAGACTATACAAATAGCTTTACGACTTCAATAACCAAAGCAGGCTATGTGGTTATATATAACTGGTTAATTCTATATATATNTTTTATAATGGTTTAAAAATTAATAGTCCACAACTTCGCTCTATCTCGGTTTTAATTAAGACCGAACATCCGGATAAAATCTCTTATCCAGAAACGACTTGGTGATTCCTATTAATTAACTCCAACTTATATGGATGAAACTCCAACGATCGAATTCCGGTTCGTCTGATAGGTTGTGGATGTCACTTGAATAATTTATTTTTTGTTTTGAAGCAAAAAAATACAGTTATTTCGTCTGTAATCTCAACACTATGTAGTGAATGAGCTGATTGAAAAGGAAGTCAACTCGGACAGCATCATCGGGGCGCAGATACGGGCGTCCATGGTCGACGGCCCCGGATTGAGTCCACCAATGATCATGGAAATGATCAATGCGGCCATCAACAAACCCAGGTCAGTCAGCCACGGCTACATTTTGGATGGACCGCCAACAAATAGTTCTGAAGTCGGTAACCAGCTGAGGGCACTCTGTTCTCTTCCGAACGGACCGGAGTATGTAATTGAGCTCAAGGTAAGCTGGAGAAGAATGAGATGAACAAATTTCATTCCTTCAGTAGGTTCCCACCTGTGCCAGGGGAGTAGATTACCGTTTCGATTTGCATCAAGCCAACATATTTCAAGGCACACAACCCAACCAACAGTCTTTGTGTATCACACTTATTGCGACAACTCCTATTAGGAAAATAGTGCAGGAAACGCCGTTGTAAACATCTTTTTTTTCCTCGAATTTTTCGAATGTTTTATTACTTGGACTGAAATATTGTGTGCTGCCGAATGAATCTATTACTACGAAAACACTCCTAATTGAACATGAATACATTCGTAAAACAGCCGTAAAATTTCATTCGAATCACCCTGGAGAGATGAAGAGAACGAACAACTAGTAAAGTAATACAATGACTGCTAGTGGGGATACAGTGCAGAGATCTACACTACTCGAGCTTGAACAAGGTTGAGATTGGAAACAGATTATGGATTGAGTAGCTGTAAGATTGTTGAGAAAAATTACGAAGCTCCAAGAAAGTCCCCGTGGAGTTTGATCACATCAAAGCCTCATTCGAAGTTAAAAGTATACGAAAATTTACAAAAATTACACCACGAAGTTGTAACTTAGCTGGTACTAACGTCAGTCATAGAAGGGACTGGTTGGATGTTTGCTTGCATTATCTGTCCAGCCACGTGTACACTATGACAGTCAACATAGTTAAGGCCGAATGCTCACAGCCGTTCCGGCCGAACTCATCTTAGCTCACTTATTACAGCTGCAAAAGACATTGCTTCTCAAAGTTGTCTACAAATTTAGGTCCATGTAACCGGCCCAAATGAAGTAGCGCTGTTTGAAAATCGGTTGCGAACGCTCCCAAATCGGTACGTAGCCCAACAACGGATAACGATATGCACACCGGCTGACAGCATAACGATATGGCTATTCTGAATGCTGCATGTAGTCGACGATAAGTCTTTGAGTAACGCGGTTTGTTAACCGCAGGCATTTCGTACAAAAGTCATCGGACTGTCAGACTATACAAATAGCTTTACGGTTATGTGGTTATATATAACTGGTTAATTCCATATATATATATATATATATATATATACTTTCAGGTATATACCTATTTGGTTTCGAATCACCGTGAGCAATATAGGAACTATGACTGGGTGGTGTTTTCATGTTTATATAGTTTATTCCAAAAAATGCATCTAATTTTAGCCTCAAGCCTAGATGGCAAGGAGAGTCAACTTGAGTTTTTTGAAGGGACACAACGCAAAGCTGTTGATTATTACCTAAATATCGAGCTGCTGGTGAGCAGACCGACTGTTTGACTGACTACGTGTAGTTTACCACCGAGGATCTGATGATCTGGGAGTTCATAGGCCACCCACCCAACGCATTGTTTCCAAGACTGGTTTTATCGGAGTTCATCTGATTAGCCCCAGTGAGGAAGAACGGCTCCATGTGGCTTTCGGAATCCCTTTACCACTGTAAGGACATGCCTAAATCATTTACAACATTAGTAGAAATCATTTGAAAGTCATTTTAATCAAAGTAGACGATCACCTCGGGAGCACCGCAACTGTGAAAAAATCGGAATTCGGCAAACGTGACAATTACATGAAAGACCCCAACCGAAGTACTTCAGGGACAGCAAAAACTGCGATGGTTTGCTCGGAAGTGCAGTTCGAAACGTGGGATATTTGATCACGGTACAATACTGACAGTAAGTTCTTCGGAGGGAATTGTAAATTACAAATAGTAGCAAGTGTCTCTCGATTTCCGTTGAATTTCTATCAGATGTCATTTATCAGAGGCCACTTCTAGTCGGTCGATGGGCTGTCCAAAAAGAAGCAGAGTATGCATCAAATGAGTTGACAAAATTGGAGCATGTAGCCTGTGGTGCATATAGTTTGAAGACAAAACTTCAGATCCACAGATGTCCCAAACCGTCCCTGTTTTTATAAAAATTCATTCATTTAGTCTTTTCTTATACTTCAGATATCCGATGCTGAATTACGTGAACGCTGGCAAGCTAGTTGCGTGTACACTACCTACAGTAGCTTGTACAATGAACTTAAAACTGCAGAAACAGGATCGAGGTCTTCGGCTAGTAAGCGTAGAACTCAACATCCTGACTTTCCCATCGTGGATGAAAATAACAAAGATCGGTTGCTGGTCAAAGTGGAAGATGTTGAGGAGAATGTTGACAAATACCTTGATTTCTACCAGAGATATATGAGTGAACAGCTGAAGCACTTCATCAGCACGCATGATCCCGCGGCCGTAGTCAAAGTGAACGCAAATCTTCCTCCTTCATTCTTACTTCAGGTAATTGGCAAACTCATCCACAAATGTCTTCGTGAATGCATATTGTGTGGCTGATTCCGTGAATTCATTGTACCAGACAAAAATGACATACATTCTGAGATGTACAGAAAGACTTTGGGCGGCTTCCGCATGATATTGTTTGAATGTCGAAGATAGATAGAATTAGATCATAAATTTTCCAGAAATTTTCAGCACGAATCAGGAACTGTTACATGAATAATGGAACAACCCAGTATGAGTCCACATGCAGTTTGGTGCTACAAAGATTGTACTCAGTTTTAAGTGCTAATTGTGATTTGTCTCTGCTGTGATTGCGTTAAAATATTGATACTTCCTTGTCGGTTGAAACTTAGGACTTATTATCTAACTTCTTTACAGTCCGTGGTCACGCGTCTTTCGATTATGGCAAAGCATCCTGGTGTACCTTCCTCACTACTTTTCCGTCGCGCCGACGATAGTGACGTGGAGGAGTTGAACTCTACTGGCTGTGAGTGCCAATATGGAGATGGGCAAGATAAAGCTTTGGTAAGTGAACGGCCACTTGCATTTGTTGCGACCATGCTTAGTGAACAGTGTTAGCTATCCCCAAATAAGTTGTGGCTTGTTGCCTAGTTTTAGCATATTTAAGGTATGGTGCACTCGCAAATTTTTCAACTGCAGATGTGTTTTCAACGTCTGTACGTCCGCGCTAATATGGAAAGTATTTATCAAAATCCCCAATACCCTTACGGTTTCGCATTTAATGACTACAAAAATCTGGAAAATACGAATTTATAGACCAACTGAGTGCAAAACGGATACGGGCGTGAGCTCAGGTAACAAAGAAACAAGTAATTTTAGTTCGTAGAATGAGACAGATTGACCGCTAAGCTTTGCCGATCGTTACTCAAAACTGGGATCATTGCTCCATTACTGAGATTTCGGGAACGCGAAGCACTCTGTGTCATCGTTCTGGGCGAAGTTCTTAAGGGCACGCGACAGTTATTGTTTGTTACAACTTTCGTAGACATTCTATTGCTGAACACTTCTGGCTCACTGGATACAAATCCCGGCCTTGTGTCCGCTGTTACAACATTGTCCTCTGTACTGTTCCGCTCCGCTATTTTGCTTTTATGGCTACTGAGTAATAGAATATACCACTGATGTACTGTTGTCCATGACGACAGTAACATGTGACCAGAAAGGCGCTGTTAAGTAGTGTGATCGGTCAGTGGGCCGTCATAAAAAAAGGCATGCTGTGTGGCTTACGATAGCTTCAGCAGCCCTCAGTGCACATAGCCCGTAATATTCCCGGTCACGTTTTGTTTCAAATCCTTGGGTAGACGTGCCACGCACACCACTAGTCCATTGCAGTAGTGCATTCACACGCACACATTGTTCTGTGAATGGTTTGTCTTTGGCCTTGTATGAGTACATTTGACAGGCGCCACTCATACGATCTACCATGTGCTTATTACCTAAACGCAACATGTTTCATTCCTGGTCATTGTTTGTCGCGTCCTGTAATGCTACTCCCGGGACACCTGTCACATCAATAATTATCATTTGGTATGCAGCACATTTCAGGATTGTCGATACTCAAAGAGGTCTAAACGAATTTCGTAAATATATTACAGTTGTAGACTGAACAAAGGAATGCATCTGCTGGATTCACGGAGGGCAGGTTGATTATAAAATACTTTCACTGAACTTTGAACGGAATACCAACGTAGGGAAGGGGCTATATATTACTCGCCCAAACTACAACACGCTTGCTTCGGAGGGCTGTACGAGCCACCCGGAAAGTGGAGTATCGTTAGCTTGCCAGGTTGCGTGCATTATGACGGAGCCAGACATGTACTTTCTCATCTAAAAACCTCATAAAGTTTCAGTGTGCATTTCCTACATGCTTCTACCGTATTCGGCCAACAGAACTTTTTGCCCGACTCATAGCATTGCACACTGGAGAAAGCCAGCTGTAGCTCTTGATAATGGGATTGGTCGCAATTCGTGTCTGTTTGATATCTTGCCAGTATAAGCTAAGTGCAGCTTGGCTTCCTGACAAGCAAGGGTTGGAGGAAAGAGGTGGCAATGTTGCGGAATATAGGTAGCTCGAGGACGCTGCCTGCTATCGTCAGTGCGATGCCACCTTGACTGGTGATGAGACGTTTGCAATCCAGCTACCGGGCTCGGCGAACAGAATAACTACAAAGTCACGGAGATATGCCCCCAAAAGGTGACTTAGAAACTTCACGTAAATATGTCGGTTAAATTACTGGACGGTTGTTATTGAGTGGGTCAAATATGATCATCATTCCTAATGCAAAATGTGCCATCTTTCATGCCTACTTTTCAAAACCTCTGATCGTTTTGTAGGCGTCAGATCCCAGATGTTCGACCCAACATTCAAAGCAGCATAGTGGGCCTGTGCCCAACGTCATTCCACGCATTCTGATTGTCGGTAACTCTTGCTCAGGTAAAACCACATTGGCGAAACGGCTATGCAAAGAATGGGGCTGTGTCATGATCAACGGTGAGTTGAATAGCTTCTGTTGGTATTACGTATAGACGACTCAGATTCCCAACAATACATTTGGATGAACTGAGACAGGCGAAGAGATAACAAGTCAATCATGCCCAATGGGAAATATACTCCTTACTAATAAAGACGAAAATCCCGAACGATAATGGACATGCCATTTATCAAATCGATATAGGCTATTTCAAAAGATACTTTTTCCTCACATTATTCCGTGGGTAGTACATTAGCAACACAGCTTGTTAGTCTGTGCGCAAGAAAAGAAATCCTAGAAGGGCCAACGCTTCGTCTTGGTTATGAGCGGTAAGTCTAGACAACATGTGTACACATTTGTGTACAATTGCGTAGGCGTTCGAAATCACGTGTTCAGAAGCGCAGTTTCCTTGATAAACTAATATTTGCAAAAATATGGTAAATCGCAACTCATTGCGAGTACAGTGTCAGCCTGCGCTATTCTGAATCCACAAAAACTCCGTGATTTGCGGTTAACAGTGTATGCCATCAAACAGGATGACCCGGTCGCCTGTTAGACCGACATATGCTCCTTATGTAGGTGACGAAGTACCGTCTTAGGATGCCCACCAAACAATGCTGGAAGTCACAGGCTGTCAAATGAATGCGTACATTAGGTAGCCTAGGACTTACTATGCAACAGCGCACAAAAACGGGTATTACGGACAGCCAGTGACCGGCAGTCAAACCAATGGCGATTGTATGAACACGCTTGTTTACTCCTATCTGCCTGGTGACAATGAAGCATGAACTGATCGGTCCGTTTTCTCGTTATTTTATCACTCCATAAAACAAGTGTTTCTACCTCACTTGCGTTCATCTCATTGCACTACTTGATGGTGGAATCAGTTAGGGAATAATTTAGCTTTGTCTCCCGAAGGATTATTACAACGCAGCACATTGTTATCACACAATGGTGTAGTATGTAGTTGCATGTAAGTAGAGTAATCCAAATTTGTTGAGATGGGCTCTGGTTGTTCGTTCAAATTCCTCTTGTGGCTCGACAGACGGAGAAATAAGGGGAAATAACCTAAGGAAATTGCTTATGCAGAAATCCGTTCCGGTATTTGTCGGGACTGAACTTCATAAACGCAGACTTTTCATAACCCCGAGGGAACGAGCTGAAACAATGGCTTTTCACATGGCTATTTACTCAGTCCTACAACTGCGTCTGAAACGGGTTTCGAGCCAAATGGCAGTCACCGGATAATGTATTTTTTGTGATTTTTTCCGTTTTTTCTGCTAAACAATTCATGACTGTGTATACCTTTGACCTAGCTGGGAGAATAAGCTTGCTTACAATTACCTGAAACTTTGGCTCCCTAAACTTCGTTTGAAGGATGGATACGTGTTTTTTCGCAGCCGCTTCTTTTATTCAATAAAGATGGAAGTCGAAAGTTGAAGTAGAGCTAAGGCGGGGCCGCAAAGAAGAAAATATCCCAGCCGGTGAAGGGGTCAGGGAAGTCTACTACGAATGCAGTAGCCTTCCACTTGGCCGAAAAGAGCCACGCAGTTAATTATAACACTGTATTTAGAGTGCTCTATCAAGCACCACTTTTCCTCTCATGATCCGTTTAACTTCATTGTCTAGCCACAACTGAGGTCCTGAGATTCGCTCACGCAGTGCTGGTTTATGCGCTCAGGAGAGACCGTCAAACGCACCGAGGCTTCCATGGTATACGTGACGTTTCTTGCCGTCACGAAGAAACTAAAACTTACCGTGGTGTGGCGGTTTGCGTACCTCGGCGGGCCATTTAGCCATACTGGGGGGGGTCCGAACGATACTCACAGAATCTCTCATACCAGGTTGGTTCATGGGTAGAGGTCTGACGAACACAGTCTCCTGGCCCTCCTGTTTGGGGTTGGAACATGTGTGCCGGCGTGTTCCGTAGAAAATGGTAATGTACTTGCATTTCCAGCCCAACACCGCTGTCTTGCGGTTACACTTTTGTGCCGAAAGCTCTGGTTGAGGACCCTAATCGTCCTCTGTCTAGGTGTGGACGCCCTGGTAGTATCCCATCCCTCGTACAACGGTAAAGTACACAACTAACAATACTCTTATGCCAAATCGGTCTTCACATGGTGCCATCAACCGAGTCGCCTTAATTGCTGTACACAGCAGAATGGGTAAGCGAAAACACTCTACCACTGACGCTCACGAAGAACTAAAACTTACCGTGGTGTGGCGGTTTGCGTACCTCGGCGGTCCATTTAGCCATACTGGGGGGTGTCCGAACGATACTCACAGAATCTCTCATACCAGGTTGGTTCATGGGTAGAGGTCTGACGAACACAGTCTCCTGGCCCTCCTGTTTGGGGTTGGAACATGTGTGCCGGCGTGTTCCGTAGAAAATGGTAATGTACTTGCATTTCCAGCCCAACACCGCTGCCTTGCGGTTACACTTTTGTGCCGAAAGCTCTGGTTGAGGACCCTAATCGTCCTCTGTCTAGGTGTGGACGCCCTGGTAGTATCCCATCCCTCGTACAACGGTAAAGTACACAACTAACAATACTCTTATGCCAAATCGGTCTTCACATGGTGCCATCAACCGAGTCGCCTTAATTGCTGTACACAGCAGAATGGGTAAGCGAAAACACTCTACCACTGACGCCTCCATTCTTACACTGTCACGTTTTCCATTTTCACCCTCCATCGCCCAAATATGGATACTTTCTCCACAGGTCCCAGCTCTAGTAATGACCGTTTTGCTCGCCCTGTATCACATTCAGCTGCAGCTTCTGCACGCCCGAGTTCAGTTACAACCCTAAACACTTCGAGGAGTGTTTTCAAACCCCGAAAGCATGTCTACTTAGCCACCTTCAGTGTTCGCACGCTGAAGCAAACAGATCAACAGGTGAAATACACTCATCTGCAAATCAATATGGTTTTCACGGGAGACTCAATTGAATCTTTCGTTTATGATGTCCTCCAGCTGAATGTGCTGCACACAGACCGCCTCATGATTCAGTTGGCACGACATTAGAGATATCGCAGTGTACTTTCATAGGAAACTTCTCACAAGGTTGCTGAAAACTCTTCGACAGCCCACGACCGGTTTCGCCCTTCTTGGTGCTCATCAGGTAGGCGCAGCACTTTCAGTTGTGGAATATCATAAACGAGAGATTAAGTTGAGTCTCCCGGAAAAACCAAATTTGCAAATGAGTGTATTTCTCGAAAGCCTTTGCATTCGTTTAGTTTTACTCCTCTCTTCGAGACCCTGCCCAATCAGCCGAAGCCCACACTGACAATCTGCATCAAATAAGCAATACCACTGAACTTCGCCGAAGAATAATTCGACAGATGGCGTATGTGTTGCTGCTTGGTCGAGTAACTGAAAGAGGGTAATATGAGGATGGACACGGATCCCAGCAATATCAATTTTGTACGCGAAATTTGACGCCCTGCTGCCTTCTGGTGTCTGACACATTTCATTACTAGGGTCATGAAACAATACGCACATTATAGCACAAAGTAATCGATTAGCCATTAAATCTCCGATAAACACCGTGCATATTGTGTGAAAGGTAAATGAGGTCGGTTGCACACGAACCTTAAGTTAGGTAGGGTCGCGCTTACACTTTCACGTTTTCCGTCTTCAACCCTCCCCCACATAAATTTGAACACTTTCTCCGCAGGTCCCAGCTCTGGGACTGACCGTGTTGCTCGCTCTGCGTCACACTCAGCTGCAGCTTCTGTACGTCCGAGCTCAGTCACAACCCTTCGAAGTGTGTTTTCAAACCCCGAAAGCCTGTCTACTTAGCCACCTTCAATGTTTCCACACCGAAACAAGCAGGTCAACAGGTGGTTTTTGCCCGTACGCTGGATTCCCTCTGCTCATGTATGTTGTCTGTCGGACACAAGGACGCAAGACGCTACTACTGTGACCGAAATGACTGCCTCCTTACTCTTCTCTAGGTTCCGGCTGCGCAACTCTGATGATGCGGAGGCCGCTGCAGCCGGATATGCTGGGGTGGGCATTGTATTGAACGAACGAGCGGAAACGTCTCTGTTCGATTGGATACCCGTTGATAGTTTCCTCTGTACGGTGTGTTCGGTAATATCTGTGAGAGAATCTAGAGGAACTTAGGTTCATCGCACCTTGTTTATTGTGTCTGTTTAAGCTGCAACTGACTGTAGCACTGAATCTGCCAAGGCGTTTCTATGACGCCCTAAGTGCCCTTCTACAGCAGGCTAAAAGCTCAGACATTGTTGTGGTAGCTGGTGATATGAACTCCCAAGTAGGTAGACTAAGCGATTCTGAGGCCCGATTGGTCAGTCGTCTTGGCTTGCACACTAGACGCACGGACAACGGAGACCGCCTAATTCAGATGTGTACCGATCACTGACTATTCCTTTGCAGTACGAATTTCTGGAACAGCGGAAGTCGCTTGAAAACGTGGTGCGCACCAACAAACCAGCGCTAAATCCGAATAAACCACATCGCCGTCAGTAATCGGTGGCGAGGGTCGATCAACGCTTGCCGCTCCTTCTGGAACATCAGCGTGGATTCCGACCATGCACTTGTACGTTGCTGCTTTTCGTTGAGCTTTTCAGGTGTACGCAAAACGCGCACATCTCGCTTAGCCATTGAGAAGCTACTGGACCCAGAAGTCAAACGAAACTATCAGAACCAGCTCCCCAAATGCCTGTCGGACGGTACGGTGTCGGATATAAACGGCCTCTGGGAAAAATATCCAAAGCGCTACTCAAAGCCGGAACGTCTGCTTGCGGTACAACCCGGTTAACCTCATCCAAGCATTGGATCTCTGATAGGACCGTGTCTTTGCTGGAGACCGAGCGACATATTCCACCTGGCCACCACCACAACTCCACCCGGCGAATCATCCAACGCCAGGTGAAACTGAGTGTCCGCGCAGACTGAGAAGCTTGGTGGACCCGAAAGATGGAAGAAATGGAAGATGCAAAAAATGCTGTAAACGTTCGCAAACTGTTCCACCTGGTTTGTTCGACTGGTCCTCGGAAACCTATTGTTAGCGAAATAATCAGGGACCAAAATGGCTCCCTGATATGCAGCAAAGCAGAACGTTTGGACCGCTAGGCACAGTACTTCGAACAGCAATTCAGCTGGCCATCTGCTACTCCCAATCCAGAAACCTGGCCTTCAGCAGAAAGGTGGACAGTAAATGTGGAGCCACCTTCGGTCTCAGAAGTGTCCGAGTGTATTTCTCCACTCAAGCGTCTTCGTGATGCTGATCCTGACAACCTTCTACCTGCTATTTCCAAGGTTGGCGGTGGATTCCTCAGCCAGTGCCTGTTTGGCCTATTTAGGTCTATCTGAGAGAAGGAGGCCTTCCCAGATAACTGGATTGATTTGATAGTGGTGACCATTTCCAAAAAGGGTACTCGCAGTGAATGTAGCAACCACAGAGGTGTTAGTTCGACACCTGTTGTGACAAGGCTTCTGGTGTCACTGATTCTTCGTCGTCTTATGGTGGGACGCGAAACCTTGACTCGTGAGAACCAAGTGGGATTTCGAGAGGGTAGAGGCTGCGTTGACCACATCCTCACACGCCGTCGGGTGTTAGAGCAACGCCACATGTACAGACGACTCACAATTTTGGTATTCCTTGACTTCAAGGATGCGCTTGATTCTGTAGATCGGTCAGTGCTGTTAACTTCACTTGTTCAACAGGGTATGCCCCAGGAGTTTGTAAACATAATCCGATCCATATAGTCACATACTTCTGGGCGGGTGAGAGTGTATGGTGAGCTCTCCAAAAGCTTCCCTACAAAAAGTGGTATCAGACAAGTATATCCACTCCGCATTCATGTTCAACTTCGTCATTGATGAAATAATGAGGCGAACACCAAACGATCTTCAAAACCCCGGTGTTCAAATTGTTACTGGGGAGAGCCTTATCGATCTGGAGTACGCAGACGATATCACTGTCATCTTTTAAGACTAAAGCGAAGCACAAGCCCTGTTGAATAAGCTGACCAACATCATACCATCTTTTTTCACGCGCCTTGCAACTTCAAAGTGCAAAGTCATGTTTCGAACGTGCCGTCTGCGATCATACTCCTTACAATTCAAGGAGAATCTCTGGAGATTGTGGAAAGCTTTACACACCTCGGAAGTTGTATTAGCTCTGACTGAAGTGTGTCTGATGAAGTCAGTGCAAGAATCTCAAAGGCTCGAATTGCGTTTGCTAATATGCGTCACTTGTGGCGTCAAAAAGGCATCCCATTGCATCCTAAATTTCGTGTGTACCAGGCTACAGTAAGGGCTGTGTTGTTGTATGGGTGTGAGACATGGCCCCTGAGGACATGATGTGAGGCGTCTTCAGGTTTTCGACCACCGGTGCCTCAGAAGCGTGGCTGGTTGTGGATGGCGTCAGCGTGTTAGTAACGAGGTGATTAGAAAACGGGTATTTGATTGTAATTCAATCCGGGAAAACATCCTGCACCGCTGACTCCGATGGCTCGGTCATGTGCTACGCATGCCGAAACAGCATCTACCGAAACGAGTGTTGTACGGCAGTGATGCATCAGTGTCAACACTGATGTTGCTCTCTTTGATGATTATGGTGATAATGTGACGTCCGCGTAGGCCAGCTGACTTTGACGCAAAAAGCCTTCAGGACTTTACTAAGACTCCAAGAAATATATACTTTGCTTGGTCATATGGTTAAAAGATCTCCGAAATGTACTGATTTCAGAGGCATACCATCCAAACGTTATCGTATCAGTTCCATTTCTATATATTATACTACAAGGTTTTCTAACCCATTTCATTTTACAGCAACCGAACTAATTACGCACCACATATGTGCGAAAACGCCGCTGGGTGACCAGATCCAACAGATTATGCGCACCGGGAAAGATTTGAGTGATAGCTTGGTGTTGGATATGCTGAAAGATAAGCTGAGTTCTCCGGACTGTGAGCAGTCTGGTTACATCCTGGATGACTTCCCAACATCAAGTGAGAAAGGACTGAATATCGGTCAACAATTGGACATGCTGCTAAAGTCTGAAGCCCGACCAGATTACATTGTGGATATACAGGTCAGTCTGAACGATAATATTTTTGGAGAGTCAAATTTCAAACGAAGCTGTTCAGCACGATGACATACCCATTGTGAAAGGTGTATTGGTAAACCAGCCGCGTTTTCCCGATCGCATACGTGCAGGCAAAACCGGGCCACCAAATTCTGCGTTCACCTCTAGGTGTCCAAAATTAGAGGACCTATCTAAGCTTGCCGTCCTAACTAGCCTGTGTATCTAGTGCATTTAGTCCACCACGTTGGTGAAAATGAACAGTCACTTATCAAGGTGATTCTTAGACAGACACCAAAGCAACAACACTGGGTGGTGGGTCGAAAGGTGTGTCGCTCAAACATTCAGTAGCGGTTATATTAGGTTGCACTTCTAACTTCACTTTAAAACATTTTTGACATCCAATTAAACCTGTGTACCTACAGATACCGGAAGCAGATTTGAAACGACGCTGGGAATCAGTCCGAATCGATATATCTGACGGAATGTTGTATCCTAAAACTCACTACCGCTTCAGCGATCCAGCAACACCAATACATCCGGTATTTCCTGCACCAAACGAAAACATACGGCAACGACTGCTAACTCGACATGAAGAAATGATGGAAAATATTGAGAAACAAACAGAATTCTACTTCAATCACGTGAGGCCACAAATCGATGCGTTTTTGAAGGAGTACAACCCAGAATGTATCATACCTATCGATGGGCGTGTTCCTACCGCGGAAATGTGTCAGGTACGTGTGCTTTGCATACATGCTTGAAGTTCACCAACACAGGCATCAAATTCACCTCTATGGACGTTAGCACTAGTCATAACAAGAGAAATCCTGTTGGCACAGAATCTTGCATCTACTCATCTGGCTAAACCACAAGGATCGTTTTAGTGAGATGACTCATTGGGCCTTGGAAATAGAAAAACTCAATGAAAAGGTTTTCTCGTTTGAGTAATGCAAAGGTTAACTACTGTTTCGCCGTGAACTGATGTATTTTTTCGTTTGTTCGGGATAGTTTCTACCGAGGACTGCCTGCGTCATACCCATCTTTTGATCGCATGATTCTACAAAATGTGTGAATTGTGTTGGCTCCTTTGGCTAAAAGGTCACAAAATGTCTCATTAAAGGTGAAACAACGGGATTATTAGTGTCGGGATAGAAATTGAAAGATGGATCAATGTGAAGTTAGGGTGTTCTAGGGGTGTCTAATCTATCTTATTAGGACCGGAGTGTTGCGAACTCTTCGGGAGATTTCAAACTCAGATCAAATCGCCTTTAGATTAATGTCAGGATTTCTATCATTCTACGATTCTTATCAAGAAACTTCCTGAAAACTGAGGTGAAGACAATGCGCTTCAGTCAAGCACTGTACCGTAAACACCACGTTCAGAGTCACCCTCCCACCGAAAAAAGGCCTAAAAACGAAGAGTGGGAATCATATAGGTCCCCAACCAGCTATGGCGAAATTCATGGGCGGATCCCTCGAATTTATCCATCAGTAGCTCCGATCCATTTCACTTTAGGCCTCCATCTTGTTGATATAAGCAAGGTGGGTCATAAGGTTGAATCTCACACCTCAGCACACACATATCTTCTCGATACTTGTTCTTGCAACCGTTGCGCTGTAATGATGCCATCGCTAGTGCTGCATAGATCTTTCGACCAGGTATGTTTCAACGCCACATGGACGGAAGGATGTTGCAGCCACGGTAATGGTTAAGAAGTCATCAGACCTAATGTTAGAATTCATTTCGATAACAAAAACAGAGCAAAGATAGGGCTCGAAATACGGAATAGTTCCACCAAGCGACCCATCGTCGCATTGAACTTCATTGAATATTCCTGTGGCATCACTTACTAATGGATGATCTGCGAACGATTCCGCTCACTGAAGAATCACTGCGGGAAGATTTTCTAGAAACCTTTCAGCGAACGCTGGCTGTCCTGTTTTATCTACAATATATCCAGCTGATGCTGCATTCGCTCTTCTGTGTGTGCTCATAAAAGGGCTGTGGCTTGTCGCACAGTGTTTCGTGATTGGGTACCAGTTGGAATGGAATAATCAGTTGCGTTGAGTCATCGGAACTGTAGCATGGCAGTTCAAATCCCTATCTTCGGTACGCAAAAGCCTAAACGAGCTACACTACTCGATCAGACATGCCAGTCCCATCTTGGCAATTCTGGAATTTATTCGTCATTTGTAAATCAAATGCAACTTGCCTACTCATGTAACGACGAAAGTATTACTTTCTTTCTCGTCCACGCTGCCGAAAAACACTTTTCCAAGCGTACAACTACCCCGTACCATCACGAATACACTGTGCGCGTCGCCACCTGGCCCAGCACACACCACGCAGCAGACCGCAAATTATAGCAGAAAAAACTGCCTAGGTGACCGAATTTGAGAGCTACTCAACCTGTATCCTGGGAACCAATGTTAGTTTGGAACATCAGCATCACATTACTGTAAAGTCTCACATAAAACCCGTCGGGGACATTACTGGTACCCGCTGTGCGAAAGTTCTTAACAAGATCGCCCATTTGGCCATCTGCCTGTGCAGTCCCATCTTCACAGCCATCAATGGAACTGAAACTACTCCCCTATTTTCCATTCCAGACCATGTATAAAAAGATCTCCGAGGCTCTCATGAAATCAGCTACAGCCTGATCACTCCAGGTGAGACAATGCATCATATTTGTTATGCAACAAGCATGAATTCCGGAGGAGGTTTATCGTGCCGAATAAGCGATAAACTGTCCGTTCGACAAATGACCACAAACGGCTTCTTTGAGGTGAAAAGTGGTTGCGTGTCCGTTCGACAAATGACCACAAACGGCTCACCCGATTCGTTGCTTCTTTGAGGTGAAAAGTGGTTGCAGTTTCCTAAGGAAACTCTCAGAAATCCACATGACAACCAACCAGAGAAATTCATAGCAGAATCTGGATAAATGCAGGGTGACCTGCAGAATGCACAAAACATACTCGACCATCAGCGCTGTGTCATCCCAGAAGGATTCGTTTGTATATGCTGCCCTGAATAGGATTGCCCGACAGTGCTGTGACCACTACTGAACGACCAAATGGTGTTTTTTTTGAAATGATGCATCTGACTGATTATCTTACATGTAACTCAAGACGAGCTATTTTCCCAAAGATATGTGGCACATAGGCATTGGCATAAAGCTCAGCAGTGCGTTTGTCGCTGCTAACAACAGTGATCTACCAGAATCCATAAGATGCATGTGCATCGTTACTTAGTCAAATTGATTCACGCTCAATTTGGCCCTCAAACTACCTGCACATTTCTTTATCCTTTAAAAAGCAGCCGTAAAGGAGAATGACGGAAGTGAACCGCACCGCAGACAGTTTAAACCATACATAAATGCTGAGAAAACAGCAAGACTTACTGAGGTAGCTAGCACGTTAGTCTGCTGATTTTTGTGAGATAGGTTCGAGTATACTGTTGTTTTGTGCAGGAGGGTTCTGCAACCACAAGGGTCATCATTAGAAAATGATTCACTCTTAGGCTATTGCTTATCTGTTGGGTTGTGTCATCAAGTGTTCCAATTTTGAACCCGTTCACAGATCATACTCAGTTATTGCGTAATTATCCTAACGGTTCTCCAAATAAAAAGGAAATAATTCCTAGTCTATCGCAGTTTAATTTGGTCTTGCAGCGTGTACAAGATCATATCTACTGGAGATATAAGGGCAACTCGACCGCTTTGTTGAAATCATATGAAATGTCATCCGGTGATCAACAACTCCTGGATGTACCATCTTCGGATCTGCCACTCTCGTGCAAATACCCGCGACTAATTTGTTACGGACTGAGTGTTCTTTTTACGACCCTTGTGTTTGTATTGAATGTGATGGACATCTGCACATTCCACTCAATTCCCTTCGTACGAGATATATCTGAAAAACTGCAATCACAAGTGGTATACTACAAAGCTGGGCTCACTCGATGAATTTTTAATTTCTCTTTTACTTTACTCACTGTCGCCGGTGAGCTCAGTCATTGTACGTCAGTTTCTGTTACCCATACGTGTGCAGCTGATAGCACGCATTCTAACGGTACTTCTGTACAACGTAAATACATTGTTTTCTTACAGTGGGGTAATACTGTTCAATTCTGGGGGTGTGGCGAGAAAACCTACTTTGTCAGTCGGTTCCACACTATCCGGAAATGGGATTTGTAACAGCTGAGGCCGAGAAATTTGTTGTTGAGGCATGGGGAGCAATCATTGAAAATAGGTACTACTTTATACTGATAGCCGATTTTTGATTGGAGAGGCAATTTCTAAATCAAATACTCTGTCTTACCAGAAAGGTAGCTGCAATATGGAGGAACGGATACTTATTGACGTTTACAATCTGCATCAGAGATTTTTTATTCCATATAACGGGTTGAACAAAATCCAAACGTGTGGATTGGGTGTGGACACAATTACCCATCAATGATTGAATGGACCTTCTACTTAGCGAATTTTTCCCAGAAAACTGATTTGTTGGAAAGCTATATCATAAATTTTGGCTGAATATTGCTCATAATCTATTGCCAGTTGTCAGCTTGTAATCTGCCTCTCATTTCTGAACATTACCACCGACTGTTGCAATAACTAGCTGTTGTCGTTTGAACAAATCTTTCCTGTGATTGTTTTATGAGCGCGACAACCGAAAGACGCTAGTTTCATACAGCTAAATCAGTCGAAACTCAAACCCATTTGGCCAATACGGACAAATCAACTGAGGCAGTACACGCCAGAACAAACCTAAGGAAAAGTGTACGACTGAGGAACCGTTGCGGAAGTTTAATTAAGAAGACCAGTCCGGCAACGTGTTTCTGATGCGATCAGTTGTCCCGTTTTTCTCATTCACAAACTGAGATACTGTTGATACTAGGCAAGATGAAGCCCTCGTTTATCAAATATGTGGCCCGAAAGCTGTCTCTAGGTTCGCTTGGACGGATTCGGGAACCATGCCTAACTGGTTGGTCTTAAACAGGGTTCTTACAGATCGTAAGATGAAGGTAGCTAGTGTCAACGAAGTTACATTATGAAGTGGGTATTATGCACCCAAACTGCAGCGCCTTGTCGGTTTGGCCGCTGTTTGCATTCAGACGTCCGTGGATTGGATACCGTAGCCATGAAGTAAAACGTATATGCAGAAAATGATTATTTTTTGCAACACTCATCCGTCCTAAGGCTATCAATCTGATTAACCCAAAAGATAAAAGATTAAATCCAAGTTTTTAGGGTCGATCATATTAGTGGTAGGATTCTATTGGTCAACTGTTTTCTAGCCTACGTAGATGACACACCTTAGTGTGATATAAGATACTGGGGTATCAAGACTAGACTAACTAGAACCTGTTGAAGCAAATGCAACCACCATATTCATGGTCCTTGAGTGAAGATGACTGTATGTCTAGCTGGAAACGCTAAAGCGGATGAAGAGTTCGGGCTAGGCTGCAATCAAATTAGCCTGCATTTCCACATTGTCTTCTTTTTCCGGAGCTTGCATCTTCGAATGCTTTTCGAGTGACTGGTCGGGTACCTGAATTTATTTTGGTACTCCTTTGAATGCGGTGTCTTACCTCACCTGCCCGTGTTGAGCCGGGTACAACCCGCTGAATTAAATATTCGTGGATCAGCTCAACTGCCCAGCTTTGAGTGGCAGTTTATAGTTCTGTACTACTGAGACGTTATCCAAGTAGCTCGTTTCCATTTATGAGGATTCGTCGGTGCAAATTCGGTTTTCTACACAGCTTTCTTCCCCAACAGAAGGCTCATGCCGACTTGCCCAATGCACTGTACCTATCTAAATTTTCATCAACAAGGCATATTTTACGACCTCAAAATCCCAGCACAACAGCATAAGTGGTCACTTGCTAGCCCCCTTTGCAAGTATGTGATAGCAGACGTAAGACCCAACCGTTATTTCCACTACCGCCACATGCATGCTCTCCAAGCTCGAGTGGATACACACCCTCTGGATGCATAACGTTTTTCTTAGCTCTTGAATGCCCCATACATTAGGCTGTCACCGTGACCCAGCTAGTAATCAATGAAAAGCCCCGCTACCCATTGGTGGAATCGGTATAAGCAGAAAGCTGCATTCACACATCTGCGCACAACACCTTGGGGATAAAATTAAAGAGTCTCGTAGGAGATTAATTAAGCAGAGAGGTTGGCCATTTGTTACGTCTGTAGGGACAACTAGAAGCAAGGAATTGGAGTGTGAAAATGGCTCGGTAATGTCTATCGTTTTGGCAATATAAATAATTCATTCGTCATATAACATACAAAATGAGGCGAACATTCATTTCGTAAAACAGCTGTGTCAATCAAAAGGAAACGATGCCCTAGGGGAGGACCAGTTTTGTGGTAACTGTGATCCCAACAATCAGATGGCCGTTCTTTCGCTCAAAACTTCAGAAAATTCGAAGGTGAAGTGGCGACTTTCATGTTGAAGAACTATATCAGCGTACAGGTGCTCTTCAACATTTTCAAAACGACTTGCGAGAGTTTTTGGTTCTTATACCAGAATTATCGGTTTAGGCGACGGATATCAGTAAATCAAAGAAGTAAAAGTTGGGAATCATCTAAAAGTGGCGCCCTGTGAGAAATATGAGCTCGTCACAGCTCGTAAGAGCAGATTTTCCATTTTCAAAACCCTCTTATATTGTAAACGCTCGAAGCTCATTTATGAGAACTACTTAAGAGTATTATGCGAATCGTTTTTATGAAAACAAAGTATGACACTTATCAAAATCATTCGCAAATGAACATTTTGGCTCCTTCTGTTTATGGCCGTTTCGTCCGAAGTAATCGTTTTTGGCCTCCAGACGCAAGTGATAGTTCCGTTGTTTAGAGAATATGTGGGAATTAAATGATAAAAACAATCGTTCAGCTATAACATCCTTTCGGTGCCTAGCTGCCATGCCACACGGAAGCGCGACGGCAGGGATGCTGCCAGGTTGCCCAAGCCTAGACAGGGGAAGTCGAGATGCAGAAGTCAAGTTCGAACCACGAAACCTTGGGTCAGTTAACTCTGATCCATAATCACTGCGAATCACGTGTCTGAACCCTATTAAAACGCACTCATTTGGCACTTGTTTGGAGGGACAAAACGACCGTATTATACGACGAAGGAATCGTATCATATTCATCTTATTGTAACAACAAAAAAGACGAAGCGCTCAGTTTGTAAGGGAATCTATACCCCCCAGGCAGACAGTGCAAGAGTAGCACCTATACAGGTGAGGAATGGTATTTAGGTTCGGACTGCAGCGAATATTGTATGAGAGAGCAGTTCCCCAGAGATATGAAAAGACCGTCCGTGACCTATCTGGCTCACAATACACTGTTATTGAGGGGAAATAATGCGCTAAGTATGGAACTAGACGAAGTGGAAACGATCCAACAACTAGAACGGCACAGGATCGTGAGAGTGACGCAGTCGTTTTGCGGGGAGTAGTCGAAGGTTCGGAATGAAGAGGGACATATGAGACCTGGATGTCCGACATTCACACACCAGTCTGACGGGAAAGTCCAAACATGGTCTAGGAACAGAATGTACTGAAATAGTTGAGGTGTTCTCTGTACATGGTTGAACACGAAGGCTACGAAAGGCATATTGTTGTTTTCACATGCGGCGTGGACTATGCAAAGGCAAGAGGCGCTTTAACTGCCAAGCATGTACTTTATGTGTGACCAACTGGTAAATGCAACCGCGACCGATCCCACCACCAGTCCTACAGCACCACCGCGCAGACACCGTTGCCAACCACCGGGTTTGAAAACACCTAGAGAAGTGAGAAAAAATGAAGAGGAGTGTATTTATTCGTGCCGCCTGCAATTCACGATATGGTGAAATGGGGAAATTCAATCCCGAGTTTCGATCCAGTGGTATGACTCCTAATAAAGAATGCTGATTTGTTAAAAATTGGGCGCCTGGTGAGCCACATAAGCCAACTTTGTTGTCATAAACCTAGGGCTTTGAAAACAAGATTGGCGGTGTGCTTTAAACATAACTCGTCCACTTCAACGAGATACACCACCGAGAGAAGAACATAGGATGTTCGAATGAGTGGAGTTTTTGTCCAGTTATAAAGCTTTCGCTTTGATTGAATATATACGCATTTCGTGACGGACATAATTAGGTACAGTGGCTACCTAACATTCGGTCCAGAACTTGTCACATGGTCGAGTGCATGTGGTTTTGGACAGCTCCGAAAACAAGTAAGGAAAAACTTCTCAGGTAACGTCAGTGGGTACCAAATTGTCCTTACTACAGTCATCATCATCATCATCATTACTACAGTAGTGCTTTATTGTGGGATATATAGCCAAAAGCGACCAGACTGCACGCCTTCCGCATCGAGGTAATGGAAATATTCAGACACCCGGGTGTTCTCAACATAGGTTTTAATTCAAGTAGGATGAACACCTCAAAAATTCACAACGGTGCATAAGCGTCCTGTCTGTGTGGCGATTGTTGTCCCTTATAATTTTGAAACTACGATAGTCAGAACGGATATGTTTACGCTTACCAGACCAACCTGTCAATCCGCGCACTTCTACAGGGAGCTCTGCTCTCCTTCCATTAAGACTTTGCAGTTCTCCACTCAGCTGGTGATTTCGGCTGTTTCGTCTTACGTTAGAAACTAGCAGTCAGGCGACCCACTGGGAAGCACTGTGACCAGGATGGACGTATGCCATTGTGTGAGTGGGTTGTTGGGAATGTTCAACTTATGGAGAGACCCTCCAGTTTATGTCAGGAATGTTCTCGCTGATGGCATTGTAAAGAGTGTGTTGGGCTGATAGCCGCTTCTTAGAGGCCTGTGATACGAAACCAAACACCATCACGTAGTCACTACCATTCGATGCGGCTTCCGTACTGGCCACTCTGTCGGCCCAATGGCGACCCAGTTCCCTCCTGGTAGATTGTATTGTTTTGCGTCAGTATGCAATCGGTTCGTGAACACGACTCCATGGCCCGATTAGATTACTTCACACCGTTCTCTGAGATCAAGTCATTCTGATGGCGTAGCTTGAAACTCAGATATTTAGTAGAATCATCACATGCGGTATATTGGTATCAGCAAACAGAACAGGATGGATGTTTTACGACCACGTCGGATAGAAGTTGACAC